CCCGGCGTTCGATTAAAAGTGCGCAACGGGCGGGCAACGTTAGAGGGAAAGCCGAGGGCAGTGCGCGAACTTAGCGACTGAAATAGATTATGAAAAAAGTAATCCAAAAGACTGAAACAAAATTCCAGAAGCGATTCCACGTACCCCCGGGTACGCGGATGATATCAGTCGGTAGAGGCGACGAATTGCACGCCTATGTAAGGTGGTAGAAAAAAAATTTGTTCGAAAGGAAGAAAGCAAAAAAGCGAACAAAACGAAATGGAAACAGATCGACTTTACTTTAAAAAAAAAAAAAAAAAAAAAAAAAAAAAAAAAAAAAAAAAAAAAAAAAATGGTATCTATACCCTTATCCATGTTCAAGAAGTTCTTGTTCAAACGATCGTACGTTTTTGGTCCGTCTCGAAAACAGTTCTGATAAGTCAAAAGTTCCGTTAGACTAGCTTAGGGCTATCGTAGATACGATTCTTCCTGCATGACCCAACAGCGAAATAAGTTCCTCTCGGCCCGATAGCGAACAAAAGACTGTTCTTGTAGCCGTCAAACGAGATTTCTAGGGTTTCGTCGTGACGTCGAAGAAACCACGAGTCGTTGAAACGACGTAACGAATAAATTGAACGACAAGCAAAAAAAAACCGGCAAAATGCAGGAAATGCGTAAAATTCAATAAGAGTCAGTGAAAAAAAAAAAATCAATTTTGAATCGCAAGGACAACGAAGAGAATCGTAATTAAAATAATAAACAACATTGACAACAGCGCCCACACAAAAGCCACCCGTCGCGTGAGATTTTTGAAAAACTGCATATTTTTTTTTTTTACAAAAACTCAGAAGACCGAATATAATCACTTTTCGACTTGAAATTCTTAGCGACACATAAGGAGGAAGAACGAGTAATAGATGTGAAAAATTTGACAAAATTATGTCACTTTTTTTTTTTCTTTTACCCCCAAAATTCTTCGTGCCGATTCGATGAGTCTTCTTGCTAAGAACAGTTTCGCGGCACAAATTGTAACGCGCCGATTCGCGTTCTTCGCTTGTTGAATACAGAAGCTGCACTAAAGTCCTATCCCTATTCCGCTCTCTTGACTCTTCCTAGCCGCTCGCCGCTCTGGTAACGAAGAGAGAGAGAGAGAGAGAGAGAGAGAGAGAGAGGGAATACAAGCTCGTTCTTTGTGCGTGTTCGTGCGCATTTCTATGTCCCCTGTGTTTCTGTCCAAGTACAACGAAAAGTGCACCTATCTCGAGTGCAATACAATTAAAATATTAAAGCGGCGCTACCGGTAAGGCTGAATTCGGACAAAGTATACATAACCTCACCAACCAACGATAACGACCCCTGCGCGAGGACCGAATGGCACCGTCTAAAATGACATTTTAAAAACGGCATTGATTCAAAATCGACCACTGTTCAAAATCGTTAAACGGCATTCCCGCCAAAATTTCAAAAATCCAATACCAGCTCTCGCGACAAGGTCGCCAAACGCCAACGCGTCGTCGCGATGAACATCCGCAAGTGAAGTAAACTCGAAAAGCTGATTGTTGACATTATTCGCGACACTCCCTGATCCTTTTGTTTTTTTTTTCTCTGTTCTCGCGTGAGAGTACGATTGAGAACAAGAAGAGTCGTGAAGGTCCAAAGAAAAATTTTCCAGCAAGCCCCAAAACTCGCGAAGAAAGGTCAAGGTGCGTGCGAAAGATAGAAATTTGAAAGTTTAAAAATTCACCACATACGGATTTTGAACGGATAAGTCAAAGTGAATTTTTTCTTTCAGTCACAAAAATCCAAGCGTCCGAAACTGCCCGTGATACTCCGTGAGAATTTGTTGGTCAAGGGGGTCCTCAGAGAGCCAAAAGATAATAACCTAACGAACCGAATGTTTACAGACTCTGTGAACAGAGAGTTCATTTTTCCTTCGGCTCGTACATGGAGCCTGAGCCTCGTGCGCAAGATAAGTGCAACGGAATGCCCTGAGAAATTGAAGATAATACATTGCCCAATGAAGAACCACGCCAGCAACGTCCTCAGCCATAATTCAAATTGAGTTCAGGAAGATAACTGTGAATCGAGGGATATACGTTTGGCTAGTATCGATAGAGGCCCGAGTATCGCTGTAATAATTTGAATTCCAGTCTAGTTCCTTCGGAACGGCGACAAGAATAATTATAACAGTCAGCGTCGGTAGCGTTAACAACGTGAGGACGATAATCATAAAATAAAAAAAAAGGATCTAAAAGATAATAAAATTCTATCGGTTGCTGACTTTGAGAATAAAATTTTCCTTTTCCTATTTATCCAAATATTAATTTCAATTTATAAAATATCAAAGTCAATCGTCAGACTCCAAATGACCAGCGTCGTCGTGCCGATGATCTTCATCGTGCATGAGAATTTCGCACGATGTATAATAACGAGTAACATAAGTGTGCACAAGTGCTGCCACCGAGCCGTGTGGGTTAAGGGTGTAAAGTTACAGAGTGGAGAGTGGCCGAGATACATCGGAGTATAATGCAGGCTGCTTTCTGGTTAAGGGAAGGAGATGAGGGAGAGGGGGTAGTAAGGAGGGAGGGAGGGAGGGATTGAAGTTTGTCACGAGACACCCGGTACGTACGCGAGCCACTAGAATCTCAAGTGTGAAAACAAACCAGCTGTTAATTAAATAGGAAACACATGCTCAGTGACGCTCATTTGACAAGTGGCGCCGAGGGCGTAGATTGTACGAACTAATTCTTCCTATTACGTTGCGTACGTCAATCACTGAGAAACACTGTTTCCTAGTCGATAGCTGGCTTTTTTCTTCTTGCCTGAAACGGATCTTGTACCCGTGTCCTCCCGGACAAGCGTCTATCGCTTCGCGTCTGGTATGACTTTTCAAACGGAAGGATTTTGTGCACTGCTATTTAATAACACGTTCTAACCTAGTTTCGATTGCCTGAACAATTTCAATTGTTCCATTCAAGCAGTAGCTGTGTGATTTTTGGAAGGGATGAGAAGAGGACGTTGACTGGCGATGGCGAAGGGACGACTAGTTGGGGTGAAGGGGTCCAGGTGGAGAACTGGAAAATAAAAGGAGGGGATTAAATGGAAATACTTTTGGAAGGGATCGGGAGATGCTATTTTTGGTTCTTCCCTGCATTTCACGAATGGCGACAATGATAATACGCGGGCTTCTTTTGATTGTTTAGACTGCTTCACTCTCTGACGGATAAACGATAACTGTGAGTGATGGTAAACAGGATCTTTAGAGTTTATCGTAAACAAACGTGCGTCCAGCCGTGAGTAAACGCTTTGTGTGTACTAGTGTGACGAAGTTTTGTGCGTAGGTGGCGGTTTTGGATATGACTCGTTTGTAGGCGAAGCAAATTTGATTTCAAATTGGGGCATGTGAAGTCTGTGAGAAGTAAGTGGGATTTACGAACTTTGTTGGAGAATTTTTGCAGTTGACGTTTTTGCCATCTTTGGAAATTAGTGTCACCGATTGCCACCAGGTGGCTAAACGATTCGTAACAGGTGTTACAGTCGTATATGGTTTGAAAAGGTAGAGCAGGTGTACGTTACCAATATTGGTATTGAAGTTTGTACTTCGAACGATTGTTCTTATATAATCGCAGGTAACTCAATCACTGGAATGTTAATGAACTAATGATTAGAAACGATTCCATCTGATTCAACATATTGAAAAAGTATTTTGACAAGGATACTAACCGAACAGATAAATGAAGAAAGAATTCTTTTTAAATCGAACAGAAGATGTCCGTTCAATTTTTAGGTAAAAAAAGCAGGTCAAGAGAGAGTCCTACATCTGGTACAAGAAATCACAGTAAAATTGGATAAGATTATCTCACATGTATGGTGGGCCTGATAATAAAAAAAGGCATAAGAATGAAAAATTCCTTAAATCAATGGCAAGTCTGCGATCTCTCTCTTGGAATGTCCATTAAAAACTAAAAATCGTAACCGTCATTCTAATGAGTATAAATTTGGCAAGCAGTAAATCAAACGATGAAATTAGGGATGCAAACAATCCGTTCCCCACGGTCCAATAATTTACGTGGCAAATAAGTCAACGACAGATAGGGGTAAGGTGCAGTAACGTTAAGTGGTTAAATTGATGTGTTTGCAGGTCAAAGCGATGCATTTGATAGGTTAGGTCGTTGGGTATTGAACGGTCGTGGGACGCGCCGTATTGACGCAAAAATTTGGCGCCCTCAAAATGGTCGTCGCCGGTGCGTTACGTCGACTCAGGTGAAATTCGCATTCCTCTTGGGGATGGGATCTGTCGGAGGCGTCGCGACACCGACGCCCAACGATATCCTGTACTCACCACTTCTCTGCATATTTTCGTTGTGATATCAGCAATCCTTCACGCACATCACTACGGCACTACGCGACACAAACCGACGTTTTTTCTTCCTCTTTACTCCTCTTTTTTTTTTATCAACGTGCCACTCCCGCGGAATTCGACGCGAAACAGCGTGAGTCGCGTTAACCCAACCAAACACTTGTGACTTAACCCAACCGGACGTCTGCGTATGTTTTCAAATTTTCTCGAGGACTCGAAACGCCATATATCGAGAGGTGCGCGCGCAATTGTCAGAATCCCAGGTGCTGCCATCTAGTAAGACGATCGTTCGTAAATAATTCCATTGGATGGAAAACTTTTGGATATTAAATAAATAAAAATGTTACAAAATGATTCTTATGGAATTATATTAATATTCTATGATATCTTTTTACTGGTTGCGCCAGTGTTAACCTGGCATACGATTACGGGAAATCAATTTTAAATCTAGGGGACTGATTTATACTGGAGGCCATACGCATTTGGCCCGTTCAAATGGAATTCATGTCGAATGGTTATATCTGGCTGAATGTAAATCAATGGCGTAGTCTTTAGGGGATCGATTAGGAATTTCGAGAGCTGAATTTACAGGCATTTTTCCTAACTCTACGCATTATCATACCTTGTACAGTGGCGCCTGAGCTGGGGGGCTGATCAGGACTGTATGAGGGTGGGGAGATGCAACGGTCTCGTCTAGTCATTTTAGATATTCTGACAAAAATTTCTGCACACACCGAAATTTTTTTATAATGACGTAAGCGCCTATGCTGGGGTTAATCGTATTCTGTGCATGGTAGTGTGACTTTTAACCTAATACTCGGTAATTTGTGACATTATTGTTTATATGTATAATATGGCATACATATACACCTGGTAGTTTAGTGAAAAATATCAAGTTTATATAGGAAAATAAAGAAGAAATATGTCTGCTGCAATTAGACTGTCGAAAGGCACTATTGTGTCGGCTGCTAATAAACATAACGCCACTGTGATATTCTTCCATGGCTCTGGTAAAATTATTATCTTTAAATTGGTTATAATAAGCATTGTAACGTTACTATTTTTGTACTGTCATATTTAATTGAGCACCACAGTCATATCGACAATCTCATGAGGTGTGTAGAATTGTGGGGATATTGTTAGTGGTGCTCAATTAATTGTTAATCTTAAAATTATATAGAGCCTTATGATAAAATATAATGGACATTAATAAAATTATAGGTGATACAGGAGAGAATGTAAGGCAATGGGTAGATCTTTTGAATAAACGAGAACTTAACTTTCCACATATCAAACTCATGTATCCAACAGCACCTTCTCAACCATATACACCCAATGGAGGAGAGGTAACGATAGTTTATTTTGTTAAGTGTAACGTGTGCTGTCTGTTAAACGTCATTACTGCTTGACTATGTCGGTTGATAAATTATAGTGAGAATGTGGGCAAAACTGGAGAATAAGACTTCTTCATGTAATCTTTCTAAAAGGATTCTTGTTCTGTAGTTTTACCAGAATGTGTTACAGAGTATAAACTTTGTTTCAGATAAGTACCGTGTGGTTCGATCGCAAAGCCATAAATATTAATGTTCCTGAAGTGAGGGAGTCTATCGATTCAATATGCAAACTGGCTTCGGAGTTAATAGATCAAGAAGTAGCTAACGGCATACCCTATAACAGAATAGTTGTGGGTGGTTTTTCTATGGGAGGTGCTCTTGCTTTGCACTTGGCATACAGATTTAAAACATCTCTTGCTGGATGTTTTGCCATGTCTTCCTTTTTAAATAAAAATTCTTTAGTTTATGAGGTATGTACTCAACAATTATTGTTTAAATGAGATTAATAATTTTGCATTAATGCAGCATAAATAATAAGTAGATTACTGTGTTATAGGCTTTGAAAAATAACAATAGCACAAGCGCCCCACCATTAATTCAATTTCACGGTCTTAGGGACGAGTTGGTACCTCCTGCGTGGGGTACAGAAACATATAAAACCCTTACAGACCTTGACGTCAAAGCAGAATTTGTAACACTGCCAAATGCCTTTCATGAATTGACAAGAACTGAAATTCAAAGGCTAAAAGAATGGATCCTTAACGTATTGCCAGAAAAAGAATAGTCAACGTTTAGTCAGATTCATATTGTTTTAAATTATATTTTTGAGTGAAAAGTAGTCGCACGATACATAGGGTTTGTTACGAAGGAATAAATTTATTTAATAATCGTAACTAGTTCATCATATTGGCAATTATGAACTAAAAACAGCATCTGATTCTAATAAGATAGGGAAAAGGATCAAGTTAAACACATTGAACATAACATGTTACAATACGTGATCATATGGGACCCTTATTACTACGTTCGCTAACCATCACGCGCTGGCACGTGATGAAGTTCTTTGCAAGTTCTGATCACGTATCAGTACGTGATGAATCTAAGTTCAATTAAAGTGAGTTAGCCATTCCGATTTCCAGAAGTGATGTGTCGTTTCAAATGTTCAGCAAACGTCTTAATTGAAATTAAAGCTCGCACGGACTAGTTAAATATTTATAAGATCACTACAAAAATATCTAAAATGTATTTTGATCAATATATTATTCATATAAACCACCTGTAGATAACCTTTTTGCACAATGAAATATAATATCAATTAAACACAGGTTTCCAAACCACACAACGATTGGATGGAAAACTTTGAGATAAATAAATAAAAATATTACAAAATGATTCTTATGGAATTATATTAATATTCTGTATCCTTTTATTGGTTACGCCAGTGTTAACCTGGCATACGATTACGGGAAATCAATTTTAAATCTAGGGGACTCATTTATACTGGAGGCCATACGGATATGGCCCGTTCAAATGGAATTCATGTCGGATGGTTATATGTGGCTAAATGTAAATCAATGGTGTAGTCTTTAGAGATCGATTAAGAATTTCGAGGGCTGAATTTACAGGCATTTTTCCTAACTCTACGCATTATTATACATTATGCAGAGCCGATAAGGACTGTATGAGGGTGGGGAGATGCAACGGTGCCGTGTAGTCATTTTATATATTTTGAAAAAAATTTCTGCACACACCGGTTTTTTTATAATGACGTAAGCGCCTATGCTGGTGTTACACATATTCTGTGCATAGTAATGTGACTTTTAACCTAATACTGGCTAATTTATGACATTATTGTTTATATAATATGGCATACATATACAGCTGGTAGTTTAGTGAAAAATATTAAGTTTATATAGGAAAATAAAGGAGAAATATGTCTGCTACAATTAGACTGTCGAAAGGCAGTATTGTGTCTGCTGCTAATAAACATAACGCCACTGTGATATTCTTCCATGGCTTTGGTAAAATTATTATCTTTAAATTGGTTATAATAAGCATTGTAACGTTACTATTTTTGTACTGTCATATTTAATTGAGCACCACAGTCATATCGACATTCTCATGAGGTGTGTAGAATTGTGGAGATATTGTTAGTGGTGCTCAATTAATTGTTAATCTTAAAATTATATAGAGCCTTATGATAAAATATAATGGACATTAATAAAATTATAGGTGATACAGGAGAGAATATAAGGCAACAGGTAGATCTTTTGAATAAACGAGAACTTAACTTTCCACATATCAAACTCATGTATCCAAGTGCACCTTCTCAACCATTTACACCCATCGGAGGAGAGGTAACGATAGTTTATTTTGTTAAGTGTAACGTGCCCTGTCTGCTAAATGTCATTGCTGCTTGACTATGTTGTTTGATAAATTATACTAAGAAACTATGGGCAAAACTGCAGAATAAGACTTCTTCACATAATCTTTCTAAAAGGATTCTCATTCTGTAGTTTTACCAGAATGTGTTATGGAGTATAAATTTTCTTTCAGATAAGTACTGTGTGGTTCGATTGTAAAGCCATAAATATTAATGTTCCTGAAGTGAGGGAGTCTATCGATTCAATATGCAAACTGGCTTCGGAGTTAATAGATCAAGAAGTAGCTAATGGCATACCCTATAACAGAATAGTTGTGGGTGGTTATTCTATGGGAGGTGTTCTTGCTTTGCACTTGGCATACAGATTTAAAACATCTCTTGCTGGATGTTTTGTCATGTCTTCCTTTTTAAATAAAAATTCTTTAGTTTATGAGGTATGTACTTAACAGTTATTCTTTAAATGTGATTAATAATTTTACATTAATGCAGCATAAATAATAAATAGATTACTGTGTTATAGGCTTTGAAAAATAACAATAGCACAAGCGCCCCACCATTAATTCAATTTCACGGTCTTAGGGACGAGTTGGTACTTCCTGCGTGGGGTACAGAAACATATAAAACCCTTACAGACCTTGATGTCAAAGCAGAATTTGTAACACTGCCAAATGCCTTTCATGAATTGACAAAAACTGAAATTCAAAGGCTAAAAGAATGGATCCTTAACGTATTGCCAGAAAAAGAATAGTCAACGTTTAGTCAGATTCATATAGTTTTTCATTATATTTTTTAGTGAAAAATAGTCGCACAATACATAGGCTTTGTTACGAAGGAAGAAATTTATTTAGTAATCGTAACTAGTTCATCATATTGGCAATTATGAACTAAAAACAGCATCTGATTCTAATAAGATAGGGAAAAGGATTAAGTTAAACAAATTGAACATATGGGACCCTTATTACTACGTTCGCTATCATCACGCGCTGGCACGTGATGAAGTTCTTTGCAAGTTCCGATCACGTATCAGTACGTGATGAATCTAAGTTCAATTAAAGTGAGCTAGCCATTCCGATTTACTGAAGTGATGTGTCGTTTCACATGGTCAGCAAACGTCTTAATTGAAATGAGAGCTCGCATCGATTAGTTAAATATTTATAAGATCACTACGGATATATCTAAAATGTATTTTGGTCAATATATTATTCATATAAACCACCTGTAGATAACCTTTTCGCACAATGAAATATAATATCACAGGTTTTCAAACCATTCATATAATAATAATGCGCCAGCACTACCACCCTTAAAAACCACCCCCAACAATATCTGATACAATATAAAGATCCCAGTCGGTAACGTCATTCGGTGCACAAAATAAAAAAAAACTTTACCACCACCCCTCGGATCACGTGACAGGAAACGATGGCATACTTGGTTTCCAGGTCCCAGCAAGTTACTGAATACTCAGCTAAGGTAGGGTTAGAACTTAAATGACTAGTAAGCTCATGGGGCAAAGAAATAAAAAAAGGTAGAGGTGTAACTCTTGAATCTAGGTCATCCATAACCGCACCCCACCGCATAGACTCCAAGCACCCTGGAAGCTCGAACAGACCTAAACCCAGGTACTTCGACAAAGAGACAAAGAGTTGACCTGGTGCATTTAGAGAATTGTATGTCACCATGAACCTAATCATTATTGTCATCGATGTGTATTATTAGTTTAGCACAAGCAGAAAGTAACTGTAATGAAAAAGAAATTTTGAATTCCAAAACCTACGATCCAAAGAACGAAGAGCATAACGTCATTGCCAAACGAATTGACAAACTGTACGATAGTTATTATACTATTGTCTAATGTATTTGTAAGCGGATTAATAGTCTGAACGGATACCAGTTGCGCAATGCTACGTAAAAAATTCATCATCAAGATGACTCGTAGAAAGTGTGACTGCAAAAAAATAGCGCACCAGTCGAACATCATTACCCAATACACGAGTAAAAGATTTTAGGTCATTTTGTCATTCCCATGAAGCCTTTTCTCCGTTTGCACAATAGAAACGCATAAAGAGACATACTCTAAGAGTCATTCCTTTCAAAGATCATCCCGCTTCAGTCCCACCTATTAATAATTGCGCAATAGCATTCAGAAGTAAGAGTAGGCCAAAAAATTCAAAAAGTGAAAACAAAAATGAAAAAAGGTTGCAATCAAATTTTTGAATCAAGTACAACGACCGTCGATAATTTCTCGATGGGCAGGACAAAAGGAATTTCAAAAAAATATCGTAAACAGCTAACGTTAAAAAAGGCGTCCCGACGCAACTACCCGCATCCTCATTGAATTCTACGCCGTTACGCGACACCTATATACGAAGAAATCGACCGGCGCCGTAGACCGATGGACGCCGTCGCGACGTCGACGTCGTATATGGAGTGGGACGATCCCGACGTTTTTATACATCAAACGAGGACAGAAAATTCAAGCCGTTGAAATCGTTGCCACTACAGAAAAATAAATGTCAAAAAAGACATCATCGAAAAATGTTATTTTTATCTCTGCTGCGCAACAATGAATATCGTTTATGGTTCCAGAAAAATAAAATACTTATGTCAATACTTTCATACAATGGCTACTATATAGCGATTATTGGCAGTTGCCCCAGTGTTACCAACATAGCAGCTAAACACCAGCTCCACCATCGAGAAACCTCGTACAGTGGCACGTTGGGCTCCGTGCCCTGCAGACGCTGCAGGGGTAGGCGTCCCTGCATAATTATAATATTTTGCTTAATAATAATTATAATACTAATAATAATAATAATCGCGACAACGAATCAAATCTGTGTGATGCGTAATTTTTAGGGTTACTCGCAAACTGGATATTCGTCGGTGTACGCGCAAAAAACAAGAAAGAAAAAAGAACGAAAGATACGAGTGACAAAGAATCTTGGTGACTTTACATAAAATCAACAAATTTATTCATCTTTTTTTTTTATTATAAACAACAATTGTTTGTTAATCCACACTTGATGATGTCAATCTAACGAATTTTTAATGTCAAGAGATTTTTCTTTTATATTGGGATTGACGTCTGGGTTGGGGTTGTAAGTATACAAATGTAAGTCTATATTTGTGCTTAGGGTAAAAAGTAAATTTAATAAGATATATTATTCTTGGACGTATTTGATTAAAATTTGTATATTCCATATATTTTTGATATATCGTAATGACGTGAGTCGTTCCTTTTCCTCACGTTTTGTGCAGCGATAAAGTTTGAGCGATTTATCAATTGCTGTAAATTATATGAATGCAAGAAAATTTGATTTTTCACTTGTATCATGAGTTATTGTTTTTGTGAGCCTCGTTAATTTGGTAACTGAAATTAAAGAAATAAATAGCAACAAAAGTTTATGAGATTGCCGACGAAAAATAACATAATAACAACATGACATTAACATTCACATAATCGTATTGTTCGATAAAAAGAATTTCAAAAGTGAAGGAAAAGGAGATCTAATATTTTGTATCTAAGAGAATTCGAGGAATTTCTTCAATCCCGATTAAAACCGAGCATCGCCGGATCTACCTGAACGTTCTTTCCTGTCAATATATTGAACGTAGACTTTTCTTTAAAAAATAAATCCGTATGCAGGGTGTCCCGGATTCGACGTCGTATTTGAGGTTTTAGAAAAATCAATGCTGCTTTTGGACTTAAAATTTCTTGTTCATATTTACCTATCCTTACTAAGTATGCAGATCTAAATATCTGTAGTGAAGCTAAGTATAAAGCCATTGAAAATTACCACAGCAGAAGCTCGAAATCCTGCATCGATCTTTTGCCCGTTTTGCCGGCTGACCTCGATTCGTTAAGGGTTGCACGCGCGCGCCATCTTATCTGCACGATATTAACTCGCTAGTGGCTGAAAGGAAACCGCGGGAATCTCAAACGATCGATTTCGTTCCGATTTACATATTAATTACAAGTCCCTATAACTACGTTATACCAAAAAAAAAGCAAGATAAAGAATGAGAGTAGATAAACATTTATTTCATCCTTTTTCAACTCGTGGCACTTTTTCTCAGACAAGTTTACATAAGAGCTTCTCCAAAGGACTTTTAATCTCGAAAATTATTTCTTACGATACTGTATCTTCTAACTTTGGAACACTGAAGCGGTCACGAGGCTAATTGTAAGTTCCAAGTGGAGGGAGCAGAAATGGGCGTCTGGACTGTCTTGCCGATGTTTGTAACGTTAATACTGATTTGACGACAGTCGTCGATTGGCGTTGTGTGGCGGTGCTTCATTTTTATATTAAAATACATAAAACTTACGGATATCAATATAATTGAATAAAATTTTCTAGAAAATCCAAACAATGCTGTCATTCACTCAGAAGCTGAAACTTGTTACCGACTACCGGAAATTACGATGCACCGGTAACAGTGACGTATGTCCAGTCTAAACAGATATTCTATAAATATTGTTTAATGATAAAAAAAAATCAAAAAAGATCGTTAATTTAAATAATTCAGTGCGCGTTACCGAAGTGCACTCTGTAAGTCATATTTGACAGATGGAAGTAAGATTGTGAAACTTAACAAAGTCGATTTAAAAAAATGTTGATATTCCTATGAGAAAAAAACTAATCTCCGGACATTCTTATCTCTTACTTTTATTTACGACTTTGTCCCGTTGAGAATCAGTGCAACGAATTTAGTCACCACCACGGGTACCGCCTGGTTCCACAACTCTACGAGTCAAGGTAAAAATATTTTCAAATTTCTTATCACACACCAATCGGCACAATCGATTATCGATATCAATTCGATACTTCAATGTCCTTTTGTCTCATGTCGAACGTTCTCAGTATATTTAACTACACCTTGTTCCTACTATGTGCATTTGATCCTCTAAAATTCCATTGTTACAAACAACAAAAATTCTATCTTGTAAACCCAGCTTGAGCTAACCACAAAATATTGTTTCAAAATAGGTGCAAACCCATATTCTAAAATTGGCCATTTAAATTAGTACACTCAAAATATATCGATCGATCGATAATAATCGATCCCGTTATGTATATCGTTTCCACGAAAGATTTAAAATTTACCCAAATTCACCTAACACTACACAATAGGTTTGTTCTCGTTACCTACACTTTCTGCACTTTTCAAAAAGTCCAATTTCTTATTGGATAATATTTTTAAGTAACCAAGGAGAACTTGCCCTTTTTGAAAAGTGCCAAAAGTGTAGATAACGAGAACGAACCTACTGTACACTACCGTAATCAAAATACGAACTATTAAAAATTACGAAACCACGTACGGTCATCGTTCTTGAAATTTTAAGCGTGTCTTACACAACGTTATTATTGATCAACTTACCAACGGCTACGGTAATACCAATTCACATAACATTTAGTAGACGATGTTACGATATCCAATTGAGAAATCACTTTCACTGCCATGCACGTCCAAATCGAGTAGCCAACAATATTACGCATAACCATGATAACTTGAGTGAGAGTAAAAGTAACGGGAAAATAGAAGACTTACGTTAGTGGCAGACAAAATACTTCGTGTTCGATTTGATGATTCCGTGTTGAGAGGTGGACGGGCAGGGAAGGGGAATCCCCCAGGAAGATGGAAGCAGCTAAGGTGGAGAAGGGAGGAGAAAGAAAATTTTACGTGACATTGCTGTCCGGTTTTTAGTCATTATTTTTGGTTAACACAATTTCTTCCGAGCTTCCACGTTAAGGCAAAGTGACAAAAACATTGATCAATTAAAATCGTTTTGATTAAATTGAAGATTAACTAAATGAATGACCAGGTTGTTTGTGCTTTTATTATGAAATGTCAAGAGAGCACTTTTCACGGATTATTGTTTTTTGTTGGGAGTCTTGTATGATTTTATTTTTCTTTCTTAAATTTTCGTAGCTTCAGTCTGTTGTAATTTTTCTTTTTTTTTCTTTTCGACCAAAGTATAAGAGAATGAATAAATAATGATTGTTATGGTAATAATTTTACGAATGAATAAAGATACAATAAATGCGATCGGCACGAAAGTTATTCGTTAGTTGAGAGAAGTTTCTTTATTCGTTCCTAGAAAGATTCACTGAGAACAAACCCTAACCTTGTTGCGTGTAGAGTCGTGGGTCTCAGTCGGAATCTTTCAAGTCAGCATGCGCCATCCCAATCCTAGAATGTCACGAGCATCCACTTTCAGTCTTTCATAGTAACGGATACGCAGGACCGCTATTATTTTCCAGCATCAGAGTAAACATAACTTGTTGTATCGATATTTTGACCGTTGAACTTTCATAGTTCATAGTTCACGAAGTCATACTTTAACAGATTGCGCGCTGTGTATACTGAACAATGTGAAGCGTGGGTGACTCATTTATATTACGAATGCACGAGAAGTTGGCCCCTGCCAAATATAGAGTGGACCTACTGTCATAGTTAAAAAACGTAAAAAGTCTTCAGTACTATCAAAAGAAGAAATTAATTGAGTACACGATGATAGCATCCCCAAGAGATGGTAATTTGATTGATATCACGGAAGGAATACAATGACAATTTTTTGATTTAATAAGCAAGAAAAATATTTTTCCAATATTTCGAACGCAACTAAAAAATTGGCAACTGGCAACTTGCCGAAAATCCGCAACCATATACGATCCGCATTGCGGATCAAATGCCGTGAGTTATGGTCAGGCGATCAGCCAACTTTGAAAATCCTAGTAAATTTCAGTGTTACGAAATTGCTTAGAGATTTTGTTGGCGGGAAAATTATTTTCAAATCGCGACTCCATCTCACTTGGCACTGTACAATAATTCATTATAGCTCATCATGAATAACAGGTGGATATATGTTTAATTAAGTACCAATAATAATCGGTTTAACGTGTAAATTATTTTGAAAAATTTTCAGAACTGATTACTAGTAAATCTCTAGTGGGTTGGCGGCCGGGCACACCTTAGGAAAGTCAATACTAGAGGTCAAAGGTGCCATCTGCCATAAACTGTTATACGTTATATATACACTCACAGAAACACATGACTAGATATTAGCCGAATTTATGAATGATACAACTTAGACATTACTTATCCAACAAAATCTAATTCTACTAATGAATTAATTGCATTGGCATTCGTTGCACGTGTATAAGTGTGACGCAATTGAACGACCTTGAAAATAAGAATCGTGAAGCGTATATACTATTGTACAATAAGATATCGAGCCTTAAATTAAAAAATCAAAATAAAAGCTACTGCAACGTTTTCCTTACAAAATGCCAAGAAAAATTGGCAGTTGTTCCAAACGTGACGTAAATTCGATAATATACTAATACAATATAGGATCAAAGTCCCTTTACAAAAAAAAAACCATTTTGAATATCTAGCAATCTTTTTTGTACAAAAAGATCCTGGTAATACTAATACTTCACAACCCCTTGATACCCTGTTGTTAATCTGTTAAAGGCGAAATGAGCAGCAACAGTGGAGGTAGCAGCGCCACGTTCGGCCTTGGGGTCGGCGTCGGTGTAGCTGGGGGTCCAAGCCTGGCAGCAGCGCAACAAGGCCAGGGTGTAGCAGCACTGTTAGTGATGCTCGCCGTCCTCTGCTTCATCTTCGCCTACTGTTGCTGGGGTGCTCCATTTTGCAGATCGCTCTGCAGAAGGCACTGCTGCTGCCGTTTGGAAGATCCTGAGCCGGATCCTCGATTTGGGAGTAGTGATCAAGCGATGGTGGCGACGCCTACAATAATTCTTCTGCCTCACGGTAGGATGCTCGTAGTAGACGGAACCATCTTCACGCAATTCCAAGCAGACACTACGGGTAAATTAATGTCTTCGTATAAAATACTTAAAGGCTTTCGAAAGTATTTCAACACCATTTTTTAAATCTCAGGACTCGACCTGGTGGAGCTGGGCGAGAGTGTAATCCGCGCACAACGTACTCCTCGAAGTGTAAATCGTCATCAGTTACAAAGTAGTCAGGGTAGCATCCTGGAGATGGACGCCGAGACGCCCAGTAAGGATAGTCTTGGTTCCCTAGGTTGTTTTCCTCCACCGACTTATGAAAGTATTTATGGAAAAGAAGAAAGCGACATGCCGCCATCTTATTCTGATATTCTCCTTCACAGGTATGCGCATTGTTATTGCTAAACGTTCATTGAAAGCATACCAAGGATTTGTTCCAACCTACGTTTTCTTCCACCAGATTTGCTAATTTACCCTACGAAATCGAAATGCAGGATTTTGGTCACGAGGGCAAGGAGGAGATCGAGATGCAGACCCTAGAGAACTGTCCCCGGGTTATAAGTAATCCAATAAATGGAATAAGATTTCCTTATGGTACTGTCACGAGCTTCTCCAGTGAGAGCTTTCCACAGCAAACTATCACCAGGAACCCATCGATAATTAGCAACCCACTGGATGATTATTATACCGACAATGAACTGAACGGCTACCGGATAGGAAATTTTCGTCGTGAGAACGACGTCGGTCGGACGTCGCATCAGAATACGACAACGATGACAACGACGACTACCGAGAGTTCGACGTGTTATCAGGATTATGATGAGAGGACAAATGAGCAGAGAAACTACGTTAATGATGTTCAAGATCACCAGGTACCAGTTGGGAGTGTTGACAATGAGACTATGAACACGAGGAACCGTGCGAGAAGCACCAATCACGATAGAGAGAATCGTGATGATGGGGTCATCGTCGTTCTTCCGGATTGTCAGAGGTACCAGGTCGTGAATGAGAGTTCCAGAGGCAGGAACGTCATCCTCGAGAGCAATGAAGATGCAAACAGGAACAGTGAACGTGGAGGAGGAAGCAGTGCTGATCCTGAGAGTAACAACAGCGCCGATGAAGATGCAGGTGACTTCGGCGCCCTGGCTGATATTCGTGAAAGTCGAGTGTAGCACGTTTCGCCATCTTTAATGAGTAAGCGAATTACTGATGAGAGAACAATGAAGAAATTGGAATCAGGTGACTGATTGAAGTCATTAGAGATGAGCATTTTTACTCTTAAATAAAGAATGGATTCGCGTACACTTTGCGAAGTGGATTTTTTAAGATGGATGACGTTACAAACGTGAACAAATTGGGAGAATAATTAGTTCTGGTAAATCCAAAGCATTTGAGTCTCTGATAAGTTCTGACTCTAAAGAAAAACCGCTGCCGGTAACGCCAAATTTCTTTGGAGGATTACTTGTCAGTGATATGCGTGATGAAAAGCTATTATTAGGTGGCGCATGCGTTGAGTATTTGTACAGTACGTCCAGGAATTAATTCTCTACCAATTTGTAAACGAAAATTTGTGATTAGTGAGGCAGAACGACCAATTCGAAAAATTGATGACACTGGAGCCACCTAGCGATAGCGTCCCCTAACTATCCTCTGCTAAATTGTATGAACTTCTTGTGTTTCGCAGTTTGTCTTCTCTTGAAGGTACTGACGGTTTTTTTTGCAAAAGGATGTGACATCACTTAATGATTTGATTAACGGAAAGTAGTTGTACATACACAAATACACGTTCTACGATATAAATACATATTATGACGTACGAAACGTTTCATATGCAATTTATTGGGTAATGACAGAAAGGCGTGTAATACTGAATGTAATTGATTCGAATTTTAAAAAATGAAAAAAATGAAATTTCGATTTTGTCCTATAAGATGATTATTGGAAGGGCGTTGACTTCTATATGTCTTTGAAAAGTGCACGTTGCGACTTGACGATTATTAATTATCCTCTGTCTTACATTATTATTATTATTGCATTGTGAAATGTTTCAAAATTATAAATATAATCTATATAAATATTATTATGATCATTATCATTGCTACTGTTAAAATATATTTCACCAAAGAACACCAAACGACTATATATAATTATGAAAAGAAATAAAGTATATAACAAGAATGGTATTTGTAATGAAATTTACAGATTTTTCTATATAGCAATACTTGTTGTAATTGTTTTGCTGCAGAGGATGTCTAATGCTGTAATTTATACGTCTGCTTTGAATTAAACACAATTTATTTCATTGCATTATATTTACAAGTTTTTAAATTTATTAGAAAAAATTATCTAATGGCATTTTTATTTTTGTATCAAGTATCAAGCTTAGACGTACGTTTAATCGTCGCTGTCCATCTCTTCGGTGGCTGAGGAATCTGCATCCTCATCCGGTGCTTTTTTGTCCCAATCTTTCAAATTTGCTCCCATCGTAAAGTCATCCCTCAGGACGCTCCACACTTTGTCACTCTATAAAAAAATTTCGCAAGTATTAAAATGAAGCAATGATATGACATTCTATATGTAATAAGCATAAGATAGGCAAAACATAAATTAGACTGCAATATTTCTACCTTCTCTTTCTCTTTTTCATCCTCTGTAGTAATAACTTTCTTCTTCATTTCATTTTTAGCAGGACTGTCCACTGGAATACTTCTCGTGCTACCCATTAGCACATCTAAGAATGCTCTTTTGTCAATATTTTTTAAGACTTTCTCACGCTTTCTTTCCAATGGTCCAGCTTCCACCAATTGTCTATTTATTTCTGTTTGTTGTTGTCTTACTGCATTAAATAATTGCACTACACCTCTAAAATCAATCGTTAAAAAACATACCCGTTACTTAAAATAATTTAAACAAATAAATTTTAAACATACAGTAAATGATCATAATACTTCATTGCAATTTTTTGTAGCGTTCTCTCTCTGTCTCTGTCGAGGACATTTGGTTTCATTCGAATACCCAGATCAGCTTCTCTTCTTTTTCGTTTGGCATGTTCTAACTCTTGTTGTTTGGTGATCAAAATGTTTTTGGATCCTTCTGATGGTTCTTTTTGTTTAACAGTTTCATCATCCCCTTTAATGGCAATACCTTGTTCATTTTTATTTTTTGAAACAATATCGCATAGTTTTTTGGCTTTTGACAAAATGATGGTCTTCTTTCTTTTAGGTTTTTTAGTTCTAAGAATTTTTTGCATGGCATCAGCCCACCCAGGATTTTCATGTGATTTATCAGTATCATTCTGTGCTTCGTTCGAATCAATATCTGAATCTGAATGATCACCCTCTTCACCAGAATCCAAATCAACATCTTCAGCAGCTCCTTCATCTGCACTCTCCATTCTGTTTACTTCATCCCCTGACTCAATGGCATTACTGTCATTATCATCCACAGATTCGCCCGAATCACTATCAATGAATTCCTCTATTACTGTAAGTAAAAAACTCTACTATATTTACAATAAAATCTTTTTACTTTAAAAATATAATTATCCTACATTGAACTGCAATTTTACATCGATGCTTATATTTCCTTATATTAAATAGGTTAATATAATCCTTATATTAAATTGTATCAATGCCACTGAATATATCTGAAAGAAATTCTCTAGCCTTACAGTTTAACTAGAAAACCTCTTGTATGTCAAACAAATTGATTTTATTAATGATCCAAATTTTTGAATAATCAAATATGGAACTGAACTACGAAAAATGCAAAATTCATCTCTAAAAATGATCCTTCCTTTCCTTAACAGCATAATTCTTCAGGATGTAACATATCAAGTCTAAAATTGATCAACGACAGAATCAATTAAAACAATGAAAACAGAATCAATAGCGTCACCTTTACGCAATAAAATTTCGTGCAAAAATTTCATATTCGTATACATAACCTACATTGAACGTGCAGAATTAAATATAAAAAAGGAAGATAATAAAGTTGACATTTACCTTGGGGCTTTTTTGGAGATTTGCCAATCTTCGCTGAAGTATCTACAGCAATCATATTTACACTTACAGTAGCCACTTATATTTAAAAAATAGAAAAATACTCCAAATCTACTCGTTCGCGCGTTTCTTTTCACGTGGCTCCGTGTATAATAACCAGAGAAGAAAAGATAAAACTTCAATCTTACTGCTAGCTACCGCCATCTAGTGGTCATAGTTTCAACTATATACTTGTTCATATCTGTCATTTTGTGAATTTCGACAACGAAACATCACATAATTTGCAAAAAGTAAAGAATAAAATCAAGTTAAAGGACTGTCACCAATTTTAATAGTATAGTAAGTTAAATTGGCGTCTTGATATATTCCTTCTCTTCGTAATGTTGCCGCTAAACCCTTTTTTTAGACGAACATTACCTCTGCAGGAGGTTACATTTGTATGCATTGTAAATAGTAAATGATAAAATTATATACCTTTGTTACAAGATTATGGCAAGGTTTTTACTTTTTACAAAAAGTTCTTAATAAACTCACATCATACAGCAGTGTTCCATTTTGTAGCAGGTTGATGAATATGTTTAAAACAGAATAACTATCAAACAAATGCAGTTCGTTATTGCTCATTGTATTTTCTTTTCAGTCTACTGTTTTGTACATGAAAATGTCACAGGTTGTTAAAAAGAACAGACAACTCACTGAAGATGAAAAATCAAGTATCAAGGAAGCATTTGATTTACTTGACTCAGATAAAGATGGTTATTTAAATTACCACGAGTTGAAAGCTGCTATGAGAGCATTAGGTTTTGAAGTAAAAAAATCACAAGTTCTTTCTATCATTCAAACATACGATAAAGCCAATGGCGACAAAATTTGTTTTGAAGATTTTTATTATATCAGTATGTATAAAGAGTACTTTTAATCCTATTTTAGTTTTGCCACTTTTTATCAAAAGTATATATAACCACAACTTGCATAAGTAAAATATCCTTATTCTAATAGTGACAGACAAAATAGCTAAAAGAAATCCATTAGATGAACTAAAGTATGCTTACAAGTTATTTGTGGTAGACTCAGAGTGTGGTAAAATATCACCACATGATTTGCAGCGTGCAAGTTCAAAAATAGGATTAAAATTAATGGATGAAGAAATACATTCGATGATAGAAGAATTTGATACAAATCTAGATGGATACAGTATAATTATATTCCTTATTATTTTTTATATAACATTTTGATAAAAAAAATAGTAATCTGTTAATGTTATTTTTGTTCTGTTTGTGATTTTAGTCGACGAAGCTGAATTTATTGAGATAATGACAGATTCTGCAGTCTAAGTCAAGGATCAAATACTTAAACAAAGGAAAAGTGGATTTTTCGAAGTTTTATATTAAAATACTAAAATGGATTCCGGAGTTGATTGGGATGCTGAGCACAGGCGCACGTTGTTGGACGGTCGTGTTGTTTTGGAGCGTACAGCAGACTCACTCGCAAGATCCCAAAGAGTGGCAGCAGAGACAGAACAACTTGGTACAGAAGTAGTAACAGAGCTTGGAGAACAAAGAGAAACTTTGCTACGAGCAAAAAGAAGATTGTCCCAAACTGATCAAGAGTTGGATAAGACACAGAAGATATTACGCACCATGTCCAGAAAAGTGTTAACTAATAAGTTTGTTTTAATTGTCATTATTATATTAGAATTGGGTATTCTTGCTGCGACAGTGTACTTAAGATTTTTTTCTAAAAAATAAATATTCCACATGCTAATATAATAGACAAAGCTTTGTAATAGCCCTTGAAATGGGCAGTAATAATAATGTAATAGAAACAATTATATTTTTTGCCATAACCATAGATAATTTTCCATATTTTCTATTGGTTTTGTTAAAATATTGTCATAACGATATTGATTACGTTATGCCTGATTCAATTTTAATAAGCCCTATAAGCACTAATGAACTATGTACATATACATATATGGAAATATAAAAATGAAAAAAGTACATCTACAATTTTCATAATACTTCTTTAATTGTAACCAAACTTTTTAAATTAACTATTGTTATAAAATGCATATATCTTTTTAAACACTTCTGGATTATATCCTTTAAGAACGGGCCTACCAATATTATATCCTGCTTCATCGAAAAGATCAATTTGAGATGTAGTCCAACAAAAGTTCCTTATGCCTTCGGTGCCATCCAAATTCAATGTATTGAGTTGATAAACTAAAAATTGGAACCATTTTCCATTCGATTGTACACACTGGACAGTGACTGGTTCTGGCAATTCCTTGACAGACGTGCCAAATCTTTGTTTGGCACAACTAGCGGCAGTCGCAAAGGCTTTTACAATAGCCCGTGAAATAATTTGATCTTGGGTCACAGGAAGTTCAGTAACATTCTTTATATCAACATCGTAACATATGAATATTGTGTGTGCATTTAACCAATTGGATTTTGCATCAACGGCTGCAATTATATGTAATACATCACATTATTTCACTTAAGTCTTTCATTGAATTTAAAAAACCAGTTGTATTATTACTTACGGTAGAGATCCTGAATTTGATAAATATTAGATCTGTTTAAACCAACAGAGTGATGCATTGGGAACATGTTTGGTAACTCTCTGTCTATCAGATCATTTTTGGATTTCAATGGCTGCAGAGGCAGAGTAGATGTTAGCATAGTTTCCATTTTTGAAGTGAACTGATACAGATCCTCATCTTTTTCTGCATAATTGATATTATTAATTAATGTGAATAATTAGATTTTTTTTATATTTCAATAAATGTAGTTTACCAAATGGGACAGAGACCCTGCTGTCATGAATAATATTTCTATTTTTGAAAACTGTTGAATCACTCAGTAAGTCGCAAAGACGCAGAAATTTTTGAGTTAAATTGTTTCTGTAAATGTAATTTTCTTACAAATATTTCATAGATACCAATAGTTAATATTCATACTGTATGAAATGAAATGCTCTATTTATAAAGGAAGTACTTACGTTTTCCTTAAATCTGTCAGGCCTAGTTCTCTTGGAAAAACATAAGCTGGTCTAGCCGGATCCTTCTTTTTTGGCAAAAGTTCCTGATGGGCGTCAAATATGTTGGACGTGCGAATTGCTCTAAATCAATTTTGATAAGTATAATATAAAATGCTATAATTCAATTATAGATACAACAGATTTATTACCTCACAACCAAGTCATTTACTTCCTTGCTCTGATCTTTTGCTAAATTTTCAATTCTTTCTGGTAGTTCATTTTGAAAGAGAATAGTTTTTAGTAACAGTTGGGCTTGCGATGTCCCTTCTACTAACAGTTCAGTGTCACCAAATGTTAAACAAATTCGGTCATGCCAATCAGGGTGAGTATTATTTCGTTTGGGTTCTGTTTTCCATGGAACTTCAATATTTATCCTTCAATACATATATATACATATGCATATATGGCATTTTAAGTTTAGTAATTTTTTATCATTATAGTGTTCTCTCAAATCTTTTTTTTTACATTTGATAATAAATATCACTTAAAATTAGATCAATTAAAGGAAAATGATGTTAAGATGTATAAAAAATATTTACCATTCTCTTTCAATTTTTGGATTAACTACGTCCTTGGCATCTACAACTCTTATACCATGTTGTTCTAAATTCTGCTCGGAATACATTATAGTTGGTCTTTTTAATCCTTGAACAACCCAATGTTTTTTAATCATGCGCCCTAAATGGTGCTTAAATAAAGTCTGTGACAGCCTCATTATAGTTTATCTGTAAAAAAGGAAGAATATTATAAGCGATAAATGATTTTTGAATGAATGAAAATAATAAAATGAACATAACTATGCATGTTATTGTTATCAAAATTATCACTTTTATAATATGTACGTGGTAAACATATAAAATATGTAAGAGACGTTGAAGAGAAAGATATATCTCTTAAGTTCACTTTTCACTTTTAGTTTAACAAAAGAGGTTATAATGAACCTTTTGCTATAATGTCATTTTTATCAGCACGAACCTGGCATGCATATAAATAGTAAATATACAAAAATTAATATTAACTCTTTCACACTTACAATATTTGTTTCAGTTATTTCAAAAAACTAAAATACAAAATTTAGTTATTACATTCGCGATATACAGCAGAAGAGATGGACAAGTTACTCCGCTGTCTTAAAGCGGGAAATATGGATGAAAAGTATAACGCAAAGAAGAAAATCTCTATATACAATATACAAAAGCATGCAATAACAAATCCTGTTTTTGTGTTTTGCTTCTCTTCCGTTTCAAAAATAATTACAATTCTGCTAATAAAATTATTGTCAATAAGTAATATCCTCTCCAAAGGGAAACATTTTCTGGTAAAACTTCCCAATATTGTAGATCAATCAAAATACGTATCTATCCTATTGCCCCAGCCCCCCAATTAAAACCACGTATAAATACAGTACATTAACTCCTAACCTCACTTTTCAATTAATCTGTCTAATGAATTTTTTCAAATTATTATTCGATGTCATATAACACTGTTTTTTGAATTTTCTCAATTTATCATTTTTCAATAAAAAAAACCCAGGTAAGTATAGGGAATTGTTGATCCATTTTATTGGCAGCAGTGCGATGACAGTTGTAATGCACGGGGCGGCGGGGAATCCAGTTGCACACAGAAGGTAGTGGAATGAGGATACGCCGCGAAAGTGAACGGCACCATGAATACGAAAACAAGCATGAATTGTGGCCACAACTATTACGACGGAAGTAACCGTAAGTCTAATTAAATCATACTAAAACATCAATAATTAGTGACGTCGATATAACCTCCGAAAAACACAAGATCTTCCGTCAAACAGGCCGATAACAAGCTTGAAAATTCCGTCTGCTGCGCGTCCTCATGGCGTCTGCTAGTTTGACGCCGCTTCTGGCGGCCAACCCTGTTATTCTTTCGCGTCAGAATAATAGAAAAAAAACCTGAAAACTCATCACGCCACCAATAACCAGTAAAGCCGCCACGAAAAATGACAACGCCATTATTTGTATCGAGGATCCTTACCACAATATTAACGTGAAAAACGCGGGGCGTTGTCGCGATAGACTTCAAGCTGACAAGCAGCTAATGTCAGGATACCAAAAAAAAGCGACATTCCATATCAAAGCGTTGAATCTCACTATTAATTCAACATTGAGAGTAATGTTCCATATCTCTGTCATCTATCGTCTTGACATTTTTCTCTAGAATTATAGAAATTACCCAAAACCTTTCTCCTGATACGATCGGCTATGAATTTCATATTCTGACGGATAATTTTTGCCTTGAAGTTCACGACGATGATGTCACCAACTTTGTTATTGGTGAGAATTTGACATTTCCTACGATTTACCGACAATAATAGAATTTACTGTCAAGATTTTCTTGCTCATTTTTTCATATTTAGTTTTCATCCATCTTGCAGTTTTTAGTCTTTAATCTGATGTAGGTTATACATTGTAATTGTCGGGATATACCGTTATAAATATGTAAGAAGATGATTTGGATGGCGCGAAAATGCTGGACGTGCAACAAGTGGATTTTTCTCTAGTACTTAGCGCAATCCCACGGCGTCGTGACGCTTCTATTATACTCTGAATTATATTTTGATTAAATTATGTTACTGGGCTAGTAGAAGATAGTTCATTATGAAAGGAGGACGTAAGAGGAGAATGTACATTTTACGTGAGAAATGCATCTTGAACGATGGAAGTCTCGGCGTCGGGACGTCGGTCCGGTCTGACAACTGGTTGAGAATCCCCTCCTACTGGGTCTCCTTCTTGAAGCAAGAGGTTGTTGGGGGGAATGGATTGGAGGAAGTCAGAGAGAAATCTCGTTGCCATAAACAAACTCCTTCACAAAATCACTGAAACTTGTTTCTGTTCGACTTGGACGTCTTCATGAATGCGGCTGAACGGCGTTGAGATGCGTCGTTTTCTTGTTGAGGGTTTTCATCAATTTTGTTTATATTTATCAACCTAGACTCCTCTGTTATGCTTTGATAAAATATAAATAACTTCAGCAGGTTCCAATCGGATTTGTATATAAAATCCTGGTAATTTGAAACTGTTGTCTTTTGTTCATTGATTATTATTTATTATAATTGCCGTCGACTATGTTTGACGTTGATACTTAACTCTAGCTTTGTTAAACAATAATTGCATTTCAATGCTAGTTTGTTTGTTAAAGAATATAATGCGCACCTTCGCACGCCAATAACGATGATATATGTATATGAATTATATTGCGTAATTGATTATTCATTATTTATGCTAATTTACAATTGATACCGTTGGTCGTTTATCTTAGTTTGGCAATTTTATTCCAACAGTTGAACAGAATTTATGACATGAATAATTTTGCAGTTTATTTGGTGAAGATAAATGGTGTCGAGCATGTTTTGCATATTCAGACTTGCATTTAATATTGATACTGTTCAATTATGACTTTAAAATTGTAATATAATTATAATGACTTTTTTGTATTATCAGATGTCATGGGAAGAAACAGTCCAGCGGCTCTGCTGGATATGCTGGCAGAAGTCGCGTCACAAACACTTCATTCAGAAAAGAAACTTGATGAATTCTACGTAATGAACAAAATGAAATCAAAAACAGAATCCACAAAACGGAAATCTCATGAAACGACATTCAGTGTTGAACAACTGCTCGCAATGCCAGCTTCCCAATTGGTTAAGCAATTTTCAGTATTTACCAGCGATGAACTGAAGAGGCAATACTCATACGCGTGCGCTCTTATACCTGGTTGTACCGAGAGGTATACAAGTTTTGCCAGTGAATGCCGAGCTAGAATGTCCATCAAGGCTCATCTGGCAGATCATTTGGAATTTCTCAAAAGAGATGCAGTGTCATGTAAGTATATATTCAGTAGCATCTATATAACATTATTTAATTATATTAGCCCCATTAAATCTATGGTAATGTTACAGATTCTTCCTTCACTGCAATAGCTGTAAAGTACAAAAGTCCAAAGTCGAGCCTGCAAAATAAGAGATCACGAGCACAGCAGCCAAAAAAAATGCAGGAAATTCCAAACAAGGAGAACAAGGAGGTGAAGTCTGAAAAGTCAACAAATTACTTGCGCAAGATACTCTCGAATGAGATGAACTTTGAAGAATTTGAGAGGCACAGGTCACAAGAAAAAGTGAATAATATCAATGAGAATTACGCTGTCGATGGTGACAAGGAATCTAATGAAATGGAGTTTAAGGGTTTAGGAGATCACAGTTACTATGATCATGCGAGATATGGGACACCGCTTGATAAAAAAGTATCATCAGATATCAGTGACACTACTGTAAACGAAGCGCTGGAAGAAAATGTTAGTATGAGTTTTAATAAGTTATTAAGTTACAAGTTCACTGAGAATTATGAATTTTATTGGGCCTGAGTAAAGAACAGTACATCAGGATATATTTTGATTAACGACGTCACATCTTAAGCATTGAAACTTGTTGATTGCACTAGATGATTCTCGCATAACCTAACAAATTACTGAATCGCATTCTACATTTACTTACGTAACGCTACATCTATTTATTTATAGATTATGTTGATGGTTGTGGAAAGCAATGGTGTGCACATGAAGGAGCTCCCTTACGCCGCTCCGAAAATGAAAGGATATTCGAATTTAGAGGAAACAAAAGCATCCTTCTTACCAGGTAAATACATTAACATTTCTTTGACAAATAGATTATTCAAAAAATCTTTCTTATACCAACTGTATACGTCCTGAACTCTGTATAGCTGCTCACACACTGAAACTGAATGAAATGCAATCAAGTTGCTTAGAACGTTCGTGCTGTTCTTCAATAGCAAAAAAAAAAATAAATCTATTTTATTATGCATTCATGTTTAATAATCTTAAAATACATTTTTTTAAGCTGAATCTGCGTCCTGGTCCGAAGAAGATTATAATAGAAGCGCAGAGATTGTAGTACCGGCTAAACCTAAAGGAAAAGCTAAATTTATAGGAACAAGTAAAGAGGAACGGGAGATGGCGCTAGCATTGATTGAAAGAATTAAAAGAAAAGGAAATCCCACAGGCGGTAATTTACAATGTCGCATTTGTGATCCACCGCGAAGCTTCACTGCGCCGACAACTCTCGTTTCACATTATCGCAGTCACGCTGGCATTAAACCCTACGAATGTCGCATTTGTCATGCTGTTTTCACCAGGAGGCACAGCCTCAAGTATCATATGCTCATCCACCAGAATCAGACACGATTTACATGCGCGGATTGCGGAAAAAAATTCAGGCATCCTTCTCACTTCCGGGAACATAGACGGCGCCACACAGGAGAAGCTCCCTTTGGGTGTGAAGATTGTGGTCAGAGGTATGTATCTGTGCAATTTCTTCTTCAGAGCTTTAATTGATTCTTTATTTAATCAATTACCAATCGACTGGTGATACTTAAATTGATTATAAAACAATCTTATCGATCAATTAAAAATACCTTCTTCGTTTTCAGATTCAAAACACGAAACACGTATAAACGGCATCTGAAAACGCGCCATGGAAAAGTCCTGACTACAACTGGAGAACTATTGTGCCTATCCGAGGAGGATTTTCAGAAAGTGCGCACGAGTCGTAAAAGAAAAGCAGATAGTGTTGTGAAAACTGAGAGTATGGCAGAGGAGGATATTACAGCTCCAGAAGCAATAATACAGCACGAAAATGATGATTCGAACGATACTGCAGAGCAGCAGTTCACTGATGGATATTATGTGGAAGTTAATGGTGATGGCACCGATGAAGGTAATAACGTCTGGTCTACTGATCAGGGTCGAATAGTTACATCACAGATTAAGAATCACAAGGAGTGTGAGACTAATGAGGAATCTCACGAATCTAAGACTGAATACATCGAGACTGAGATAACTGTAGATGAAACTGACATCAACAGCAATGAAAACGAAATGAATAGATTACGTTTTGTCGACACTGTTGACAGTGAAATTTATTTTGAGTGCGATGACGAGGATAGGGGCGACGAGATCGAGATGGATACAACACTTCCTGATAATGTAGAAATCGTAGATCAGGATGAGGAGAATCAGGTTCTCTACCACAACGATCTAGAGAATAATGATTGCGAAAATGTACTGTACGAAGAGGAATTTAATCACCAGGTTCAATATACTTGCAAGGATTCGATAGGAATTCATGAGAAAATGGTTGAATATAGAGATGATGCTCTGCTGGGAGATGTGCATCAGGTTGTTAAGACAGAGGATGACAATTCTGCGAATTACAATGACTCTAGTCAGAAAGTTCACGAGTATTGTATCTCCAAACAGGATTCTTTATATGTGCTGTCTGGGATGGATGTACCTGATGGAAAAGAAGTCTCTGAAGAAAGCATTTTGTCGGTGAGCGAAGTTGAGAAACGTCTTCAGGAAACTGATTGTAGTTCAGAGAATGAAGAACAAGATAAATATACGGATGATATTTTCTTACTAGGTAATAAAAGGGTGAGAATTGTTCGACGTAACGGCGATTCAATGACGGAGTTCGAAAATTCTTTGCAAACGATTGAAAATGATTGCAACGAAAAAGACAATGAATCAGTGCTGGAAAAGGAGACGTTGAAAAAGGATGAAGTACTGCGCCGTCATCATAGATTACCATTATTCCAACTAACAGAAAAGAGCGCTACGGGGGCCACCGGAAGTTCCGTCCAAGAAGATGATATTCGCGATTTGAACGTTCAGCGTAAATTAAAACTTTCACGCGCTGATAATTCAGGGAAATTGCAATTAACAAAAAGTGAAAGTATCACAGTTTTTGATGAAGAAACTCGCTCCATGAATGTACTCCAAAGGGGCCGGCAGAAAACGATACTCCTGTTGGCTAACAAGGATGACTTGAAAAATGGATTTTTGAAAATCGAACGCAACGGCGTCTTGGCGATCGACGCTACGAAGACGCTGTCGATCGTTGCGCTTCCGCAAAAGTAAGTAACACAGAAAAGTTATTCGACCTAGAAATCTCGTACTCTGCACAATATCAAATCAAAGTAAAAATAGTAACGTTAATGGAAAAGAAGTTCGACATAATGCGTGGATGCGTGAAGTGTGAAGTTATGAATAAGGATTTTCATAAATCAAAATAATCTGCTCGTTAAATTGGTATCGGCGTAAGTTTATTAGGTGAAAAGTTTTTTATACAATGAAATATTTTTCATTATTTGAATGAATCCATTGCTGTTTGTAAAATTCAAATATTCTATGTCAGTCAATTAGATGACATCCGAAAGAGGCTCTGGAAAATAAATAAAAAAGTGCATTTAGTGAAATATTTTATACAAATATTATATGTATAAGAGCATGAGAATGTCTAAATAATCATCTTCTTTATACATAGAGGACAAGTCACAAATTCGTTTCTCATAGTGACAAAATGGTATGTTTACCCAAAAAGAAAAAAATCTGTTGTGCCAAGTTTGAAAAAATGCGTTTATCCCTTTCCAGCAGTCTTTTAATCCATTAGGCTAAGGTGGTTGAATGAAGTTTATCTCACTTCTCTTTAATTTTCCATATGTTCAATACAAATTATATTATCATACGTAGAAGGAAGTTCATTTTCTTAAAGAACACTACCACTGTACAGGGTTGTTCAAAAAGCGATCCTTTACTGTTATTTTTAATTTTTGAACTTTCTTCAACAACACAGTAGAATTAAAGGATAATCTATTAAATTGCAATACAATTACAATATTCCTTATAGTAAACATATATCAATTATTCAGTTCTTAATATATAGTATCCAAAGCATTGTATCTTGCGTGTCTATAATTGATTCAAAACAGCTCAAAATGGTCTTCCACCTGGAGTCAGTAGAAAGGAGCCAGGCACACCATGTTATAAGTTTAAAAAAAAAAAAAGAAAAATATTGAAAATAGAAAAACATTTAAATAATTCCTGACGTAACCACATCGACTGCCGCATTGACGTCGCAATTTATTGTATCAAGTAATTTGAAAAATTCTAAGTGTGACATCACTTTCTATACGTTTTTCTTATTTTACAATATAATCCTCGCGCTGAATATATAACAATATTGTTAATATATTTTCTATAACTTTGTAAATAGAGAGAATTTACCACGACGCTTTATATTCAGAATATCTACAGCGCAAAATTAATATCGGTAATATTAACCTGCTGCACCTACATGCTTCCACGATTTAATAACGATATATTTACAGATGTATAATTAATTCAGTTCATTGCAATCCTGAGATTGTAACATTCCTTACGTTCAAAATTTTTTGTTTTGAAAAAACTAACACTCGGTCATTACCTGTGTATCTTAGCTATGTGTAATAATAATTTTTTATATTGCGGCCTCTTTTTCAAAATACCCTAAAAAATATTTGAATTTTATGCACGAAGCATGATTCTAGAATTTCCTCCTTACTCTGAAAAGTTCGATCTCCAAAAAGCAAACCTTACTTTGTTGGTATTTTTGCACTGCTTAGTCATTTTACTTCTTCCACAAAACTTTGTACAATCCGTTACTATCAATAATTATATTGTTTTTAACATACTTGCCAGAGTTTACATGATACCGAAGCCTATTAATTGAAAGGAATTATAGTGTTGATATTAAATTGTAATTTTTCATACTTAATAATAGTCTATGGGACAATTATACAATTATTCTAATTTACTTATTGTTACACTGATTTTTCAATATTTCTATTCAATTTTCTATTCTCCATCGCAAACTCAAAGCATCAGTTGATCAATAGTAAACCATATGGTTACAAAGAAAACAAATAAAGGCGTTAATTATTATTAATATATACAATACTCGTATATTGCCACATAATTCATTTCCCATGATAATGGCACTAATAATATCTACAATTCATAATATTACTATAAAATCGATAATTTGATTAACAATAAGGAGCAGAGTAGCTTTAAAAAAGTTTGGACAAGTTTGAAGGAATTTCAGAAGTAACATTTGTGTAGTCAAATTACGAGGAACGTGTCTTGTCAATTTTTTAATACGCTAATCACTCATTATTTTTTAAATGCGAAAAAAAGGACTGTGCCTTAAGCCTTAACAAGAAGCAATCCCAAGATAGGAATTATAACATTTTTCATAAGGAAATTCAAGTATATACATATATATATATATTATATACGTAATATTATAATAGCTATTTATGTAAGGGTTTTCTACTTTCTCGTTCTTCTTTACTGTCTAAGAGAGTTACGTATAACATAAACATAAATAAATGCTCTATAAGCCTACCTATAATATAGTAATAACTTTATCACAAAAAATATTGTTTAACGGAACCTATATTGTATTTTTATACATATTTTGTACTTACGTTCAATAAATCTTGAAAAATTATAAATCGTACCATTTTTTTCTTGTAATAATAAAAGGCAGATTTACCTAAAAAATCATTTTATTGAGTTCAAATTGTTCAGTAAAAAAATTCTTGCTTCAGAGACACTGCAATATGGCTATTAGTCATTAAAAGTAATGATACATTATTTTCACTAGGCTTGTTGTATAATTGTACAGAAAATTAGAAATATAAATGATAAAACAATCAGTTCTCTTTATACTGAGACTTTAGGATCTCCGTATTTTTTCTATCGGTAGAAACTTGACAGCAACAATAGAGGATAAAGAGTACAAGTAAAGTAATATTCCAAGAATCTGAAAAAGAGTAGACAATTAGCTGCGAGATTATTTTAGAAGAAAGTTATTGAATATTTTGTTATAATTAAATATTTTTATGTAATTAAAACTCAACGTACCATGAAATATTCTGTATATAAAAGCATTGCCTATATCTTGACCGGCAAAGAAATAAAAATTTGATATGGCTGACATAGCAAGTAATGGACTTGCCAAGGCGCAATGAAATCTTCTAATGTTACGTTCGCTTAAATATTTTCTTTCGATCCTGATGTAACGTTTGTATTTGCCAATTGTCTTTGCGATTCCCTCCACAGTCAATCCCAAGAAATTTAAGAAGGACCAAATAAATATAAAAGTCTGCATACCATGCCATAGAAACACAAAGCCAAAGCATAAAAATGATGCCAGTAATTTTCTCATTGGAGATTTCATTCCAGAAACTGGTATATAAATGTATCTAGAAAAGGAAATTATAAATAAGAATTTATTGATTAAGGTTTATTAATTAATTTGAAAATATGTAATGAAACAAACCTGACAAGGAATTTATATAATCCTCTATCAAAGTGTTTCCACATATCCGAGTAGAGATGAATTCTACCAATACATTTTGGAGGTGGTGGTGCTGCTACGTCTTCAATTCTTGCAATTTCACCCCAAAATCCATAAATTACAACATATTTTAAGTGAAAATATTGTCCCATACAGTAACCAAGACCATAAAAAGCCCAAGGATTCATTTGTTCTACAATCTGCACAAGAAATATATAATGAAAATAAAAAATTGCAGGTATATTATTATTTGTTCAAGTTATTAGGATTTTTGTACGACCTCGGGATGGAATTGCAATGCATTGAAGTACATGAAATGCATGGTGAATTCAGTAAAGAAAAGCCAGAATATATAACGAGTTAAATTAAATATTATTGTGCAGAGTCTTCCAACGCTCCACTGTCTGTAGGGTACTTTTACCTAGTCAAATTATACATCTTGTTAATAACATAAGGACAGAATGAAAATGAGAAAATTTAATTTCAATTAAATTTTAAATGAAAAGATCCTTGTATCTACTTACTCCTTGCATGAATTCTCCGTAAAGGATTAATGGTCCTAAAAACAGTGTAGGCAAGTATAAGCAATAAGCCGCATTTTGTACGAGTTCCTTGAGGAAACTGAGAATATTTTTGTGTTTATATTCTACGATGCTGTCAATACTGTAGCTGATACTACGTAACTGTATCCAGCAAATGGCAATTATGAGCATGTAATACTTTTCCTCGTCGAGGCTCAACCATGCCTGCCCAATAGATTCTGAAGTTTTGGTTAAGTATATTACTGCCAAGCAGGATAAATGCACTATCCAAGATACAACTTTACTTCGCAGTGCAGTAAGTAAACAGGATATACATGGTAATATAAGTATACAGAGAGTGCCAAGGATTCCAACATATTGCCAGAGGAAAATAAGAGAGACGGCAATATACCAGCAGCATAATACCTGTAAATGAATATACTATTATGATAACAATTAACATAAGTTTCATTAGAAATAATACAATCTACATCGAATGTCTGAATAATTAAATTACGAAAGTAAAATTAGAATAATCTTCACTTCAAATGAGCCATACCATATTGTTGAACAAATATTTAATGATTTGTCCAACAAAAAGATGTATTATAATCCAGGGTATGAGTTTGAACATGAATGGAATCCAGGTAGTCCATTCTTCATCTGATGTATCTCGTTTGCCTCCAATCCAGGACCAACCTGGACTAAAGTCATGATACGAATCATGATAATCGATGAAATCTATAATGACAATATGGATATAAGTGAGAAATTAGTCTTTTCTAATCAATATTTAATACTTACACGTGTGCATGAGGTGTACATGATAAATGGAGTAAAAAACAGCACCACTCCAACCAATTAAATAAAAAGTTGACTCATATTTGTTGAGTCTTATCACCTCTTTAATTTCCATTTCGAATTTCCCGCGCTCTTATTAGGCCTCCCTGTGACTCGCCAAGGAACTCAAAGTTCTTCAGGTCGCATAAAAGGAAAGGAAGGAAATGCCAGCCAGAGTGAGTAAATCCGCCAAACTACTGCTATTTTAATGTTCAAGACATTAGGACAATCGATCGAATAAAATTGTCCACATTTCACTGATGTATCAACATTCTTTTGCTCTTCACGATATTTTCGACTTGTTAAACATTCTTACTCGTTGAAGCGGTTAGGTTCGCGTCCATCATAAACTTATAATGGAGCACAGGCAATGCCCTATAGGCGGTAGATTTGAACGAACTGTCAATGAACTTATATATTTTTCATAGAACTATACTAAAAGTTTTTAATGCTATTTAGGTAACTGAAGTGAAGTGCAAGCGTTGCCGTAAAGCACTCTTTACTGAAGAAGCAACACCATTACTGACAGCACATGGTGAAATCAGAACTGGACCAATGCATGCTCGCTGTGGTACCGGTGCTCCTGAATATTGCCTTTACATATCCTTGGATAACATGCCTGACTGGATACGTGAAGCTGTAGATAAAGTGGAGTATATTTTTAAACTTTTACATTTCTTAGAATCATTAAATTTTGTCATTTTACTAACCATAAATATTTTAGGATCATTGGATAAAGGGAAAACTGCACTGTCCGTACTGTCACAGTCGACTTGGATCCTTTGATCTTGTTAATCAGACTAAGTGTGATTGTGGAGAATTTCTACCACCTCCTATCAGGATCGTTCACTGTAAAGTTGATAGATTGTCCGACACTGGATCCAATTTACCTTTTTTACCATTGCCACGCGCACATTACGATCGGCATAGAGAAAATTTAGTGAGACCTATTCGCCTAATAGCAATTGATAGAGCTAATAATCCAGTTGAACTGCGTAATACAGTCCAAAATGGTATAGCGGGTCATCGACCGTAGGCTCACTTTAACAGAACAAAGGATTTGAACTGCATATTTCGGCTTTCGAATTCCACGCGGTGTTTTCATAACAATGTGGGTTTAGTAAATTAATGAGGACGACCATCTTCATGTCAAGTATGAGCGATATTGTCGCCTTCTCTAAGAAGAATTTTCATGGCTGTTTGCGTTATTTTATATTTGACTTAGTCAAAATATATTTATCATTAATTCTCATTAAGAAATGTGAACACCACACTCTCGAGAAATCGTAAAATAAGATTATTTTTCTGAGCTTGACGTAATTGTTCTTTAAACATAGTACGAAGTTCACTGTAAATTCAAAAAGAAAAACAGTGGATATACGGAAGAAAGGAAACAAAGCTGGGGAAATCATAGAAACTGTAAATAAATATAATTATTCAACTTCTTTGTAACAGTGCAACAATAAAAAACTTTTACGTGAATTATTTTAAATTTGCCGCAAAGTTACAACTGGCGAATCATATTGCTTCTCACAAAACCTAGAGCACGTGATGCTATCAATAAGCCAATTAGATCTGCTATTTCAAGCCAATTCTTCCGGAATGTTGGAAGATGCACCGAGGAAGAGCAAAAGAGACCGGTAATTCATTACTGAAGTGCAATGTACCGTAACGAGATACTTTTACAGTTTGCATTACTCCACTTTGACATCCATAAATAGGAATTAAACGCGCCAGAAGAAAATCAAGCGAGTATGGTTCGTGTAACATTTTTACATCCTGATTTGGGAATCGGCGGTGCCGAAAGGTTAGTCGTTGACGCGGCACTGGCACTAAAAAAGAAAGGTTATGATGTTAGTTTCTTGACAACTCATCACGATCTCAATCATTGTTTTGCTGAAACAAAAGATGGTACAATTCCTGTGACAGTCGTTGGCGACTGGTTGCCACGAAATGTGTTTGGAAAATTCTTCGCTCTCTGCGCTTACATACGTATGGTAAGTTGTACTTGATAATATGAATAACAAAAAAAAATTAATTTGCCAACGATGCACTTGAGCTTACACGTAAGCATCTGTTCAGTATGTTGAATGCTTTTATTTTTTTTTTCAATAAATAATTGTGATCATTCTAGGTTTATGCCGCGAGTTATATATACTTTATGAATCAACGTCCTGATATTGTCTTCTGTGACCTGGTATCAGTTTGCATTCCTGTTCTACGCTTATACATTCCACATGTGGTTTATTACTGTCATCATCCTGATTTACTGCTGTCGCATCCTGGTGGACACTGGAAATCATTGTATCGAGCACTGCTTAACTATCTCGAGGAAGTGACCACGGGACAGGCTGATAAGGTATTTGCTAATAGCAAGTATACACAAAGTGTTTTTAAGGAGACATTCAAGAGACTCAGGATCAAGCCTGAGGTCTTATATCCTTCCATTAATACTGATTTCTTTGATAAAACACGAGTCGTTTCCTTGGAGCGTGCTTTGGATAAGAAATTACCTGAGGATAGTTTTATATTGCTGTCAATAAATCGTTATGAGCGCAAGAAGCATCTGGCACTTGCGATAGAAGCATTAGCTCATTTAAAAAAATATGTTACTGATTCCGAATATAAGAAAGTTTATCTAATTCTTGCTGGTGGATATGATAAGAGAGTGGAGGAAAATGTTGAGCATTATTTAGAATTGATCGAACTAGCTGATGAATTGCACGTTACCGATAAAGTAATCTTTCTGCGCTCACCCTCGGACATTGACAAAGTCTCAGTTTTGAGGCATTGCAATGTTTTAATTTATACTCCACCAAACGAACATTTTGGTATTGTACCATTGGAAGCAATGTATGCCGAGAAACCAGTGATTGCCCATAATTCTGGTGGGCCAACTGAATCAATAGTGAATGGTGTGACTGGTTATTTAGTAGAAGGATCGGGCGAAGCCTTTGCTGAAAAGATAGCACACTTTATCAAGAATAAGAACTTAGCAATACAATTTGGAAAGGCTGGTAAAAATAGGTTTTTGGAATTATTCAGCTTTGCTGCATTTGGCGATCAGTTGAATAGATCGATAGAAGCTTTAGTGAATAATCAGAAGGAAAACTAATAAAGTTATTAAAAGAAAGTATTTAGGATATCTATTATACTGTACAGGGTTTAAGATTTTTCATGAACATACTGTTCTGTTAACATCAATTTATTCATACATATTTTATCTCTTGCATATGACTTGCATAAAAATTTAAATATATATTTTATTTATATATATAAAATTGGCTTTTTTTATTCAGAAATATAGATGCCAAACAGATGCTCCTGTATATTGACTCCAGTACAGAATATATTTCCTTGCTTTTCTGTGATAAGAGACTACCTACAATTATCTCTCTAATTTCGCGCCTTCACCACAGTTCTCTCTCTACTAACCGTGCAAGACGGAGATTAGTTTCTTTTTCTCTTCCCCACTTGCGCAATCACAAGAATAGCTCATATAAAACCTTCCATACCTAGCTATCTCCATCCAACATTAATCCTATCTTTCACCAACGTTCTGCGTACAACAAGTGTATAAGGAGAATACTCTATGTAATTGGCACTCCCAGAGTCCCAAGAATACAAAATAAGAGAAAGTTGATTGTATGTCTTTGATAAAATATAGTTTTTTCTGGAGTGACTTAAGAGAAGCATCTAATACAGTAGGATCCTTGAGTAGTAAAACATCAAATCTTTTTATTCAATTGTATTCCCTTCAATTTTCCTAATACATAATTCCAAATTTTGATTAAATAAACTTCTTCAATTTTAATAGTCTACATTACTTTATCCGTACATTATATTGTTACTGATCAATTATATTTAATAGCTGACTTTGGTATTTATTTAACTATAAAAATACAGTAAATCACTTGCTATCGGTGATACTTTGACAGGAGTTATTTATGAATAAAAGCGAATTTATATTTTACCTCGTGCCAACTAAACGTATATCACTAGTTCTGAATTCTCTTTTACGCTTCCTTTCTATCCCAGTGAAATCGTGATCTCTTTTCATGATTTTATATCTGTATTTGGTTGAACCAAAATAAATCATTTATTGTAATCTGCAAAGTGCGTGCACGGATATAACTGCTTGAGATTCTATTGGTAAATTAAAAACGAAAGAGTTAAAAACGTAAAAATTTGTGTGACCACGACGTTGCCTTATATGCCTCTGTCGTAGAAAAATCTTAAGCATTAAGTATATCTTCAGGGGATGTAATAATGCACGATTAGATCTATATAACTTAATATATCTTTATGATAAGCTATTATTAACAAAATAATGCATATTATTCTCAGTATTAATTTTTGGTCTTTATCCCCACTTCTGCTGTTACAATCATTTATCTAGTCTAGCGCTTATTACCATCAATCGTAATACAAAAGCTACATTACACACGTTAAAATGCATGGAAGTCATGAAAGCAGTAATAATAAAGGAATTGTGATGTTTACAAATATTTAAAAATCGTAAAGCGTAAGATGTTAACGAGAATTCGACAATTCGCTATTAAAATTTCGACGATTGGTATAAATTCGAGGTAATTTTGGTCCCCTGGGGAGAAAAAACTCTTGTATAACCGTAAATAATTGTCTCTCGATGCTAGAAAGAAAATTGCAAGAACCAACAAAAAAAAGAGGAGGAATTTTAGTTAACAATTACGTTTCTATCAAATCCGTCGCAATCTTACATGCGGACGTAAAAATTGCATGTTTAGTATATGACTGGGAAGCAATATTTTTTCTTCTAATAATTTTAGGAACATTAGCTTTACATCATATTCCATAAAAATATAAATATTTGCATGCAATGCCACTCGGGTAGAGTATAATATTTGTCAATTTCGAATATTCGCACAGTGTATCACAATATTTCTTTACATTAAATAAAACTGTAATCGGAATTTACGAGTAGCAAATAAATTTCTTTTTAGTTTAAATACGTTATGAGTGGGTGGGCGCTGGGGAGTGGACAAACAAAAAAGCGCAATTTGCTCGCTAAAAATATAAGTGTGTGGTCAATGTGGCATTTTTAAATTTTTGTTCCTTACGTGTATCATTTTGACAGTCATTTTCTTTAATTAGTTATAGTTGACCTTCACCTGCTCCACAGTACCAAATTTATATGACAAGACTAATAACATCCACGCCTCATACGCCTGGCCAAATGATTCGCGTTCAATTTAACACGCTTAGAAAACCCAGGGTTTACTTTTTTTTGGAATATAATGATAATTACATTTACAATCAAGGAAAGTTTGGGAATTTCCTATATATAGCATTTAAAAACGTCAGTCCCAGTAGTATGCGGCTTATTGTCTGTTATCGTTTTGCAGCTGCATCTGCGTCCAGGGCTGAAAAAACAATACACATCAATTATAAACTCATTTCTGATGCTCAAGACTTTAACGTATTAGGTCTGCAAACAGTCTGTAGAATAGTAACTCGACAAATGGTTTTTGCAAATGGTCGTAGAAATTATTCTCTCAGAGATATTAGGTCGTACAAGATCGGTTAGAAAATAACAAGTTAGAAAATGTTCGAGTGAAAAATTGTGTATCACTTTTTAAAGCTAGATAAAGATCGGTGTTGTGCTGATAAAGACGATTAGTGTATAGGATTTGAGTCAGTTGAGCTTAGGGGCATGATTGATTCATTACAAATGATCACCGTTTCCACACGGCCTGTTGCCTTGGGTACTTTTGTAGATTTTTAAAATGTCAGTAGAAAATATTGGGAACGTAGTGACAACCGGTGCGACGCAAGCGAATCACGAGTGATGTTCGGAATTGAATGTTTGCAGAAGTAAATACGTAATCTTCTTATCTTATCTTGGAAATTTATAACATTACGGAATAGTGAAATTAACTGTCATACAGTGTTGGTAAGTGGCGTAATCGGAACAGTGTGTTGTCGTGTATGTCATTGTTACTGCGGTACTTACGTTGTTGTTGATTTAATATTAAACAATTAAATGTAGAATCGATATTGTTATTTTATGAAGTTAACTAAATTCATAATTAATGGTGTTAAATTATTTATAATAAATTACGTCTTTTAATTCTATACTAAATAGACAGTTCGGATTCATTTTTTTTATACTGAATTTTGTGCAATTAATTGATTTTGTTAAAATTAAGCTTCCATTCAAGTGGGTGCAAGTATGAGTCATATTATTGACGTTGAAGAAAGCAGTGATAGCGATGGAAATGAGTATCCTATGGGGAATAAAAATGGGTACTCACTCTTGCCATCACAAGCAACTATTTTGACTTTGTCCACAATGGCCACCTCCTGCACTTCTCGGAATTCTACATCGTTAAGCATGAACGTCCAGACATTATCGCAAAACCTGTAAGTATTCAACTTGCCAGCCTGTAATAGAAAAGAATGATCATATATAAAAGTAGAATAGAACTAATTAGTCCCAAGAATCTATTTTAATTAAGATCATTGATATCTTGATATATTAGTTACATAAAAGATGAATGAAAGTCTAGTTCACCATGGTAATATACAAATGAACAACGATATCTCACCTTAAATGTGAGTCTAGATTTAACTCTCGTTGCAAGGGCTTGGTTAATAGCTTTGTCAAACTGAAGTAAAACTTTAATTGCAAGTTGTGGTGTAATCTGTCCATACTGAAAATAAAAACACAATTACATCAGGATAATAAGACCTCTAAGCATAGATATAAAAATCATTATATATAAGTGCACATAGTACAATTTCATAAATATTTAAAATTTTGAAACTCTAAGCAAAAACTTTTCGGTAAATAAACATTTATATCAATGTATTTTATCCATATCCCATTATTTGGATCTATTTCGTTATATCTCCCTAATAATTGCATGTCTAAAAAAATAAAAGTAATGGTATTATACTGATCTTCTCAATGGTATCTGAATGATATGTAGCTGAAGCATTATCTTAATAATTAACAATGTTCAACAAATGGTGACTACCCGATAATTTTCGTTACACTTTATACATTTCGGATAGTTGATAACCTCTCAAACATACAAACTGGATTAATATTTGAAGGTATCCATACCTGAATCAATTCATCGAGACTTTCTTGTAACGTATTTCCTAAGGTAGTATTTCTATACAATTGATAAGACATCGTAAAGGAGACGCCTTAATGAAAAACTGCGATTATGCGTTAACTCTCAAAGATTAACTGTGCCTTCACAAACGAATGCACCGACCGAGCTGAAGTTTGATGTAATTAATTTCCAAAGTATCGTGTGACACGTTGCTACCAATGCTATAAAAAGAAAAGATGACGCCGCAAATGAATTATCTGAAGTTAGCTTTAAGTTCGGCACTTTTCGAATAGTTGGCAGGAACGTTTATCTACACGTAATTTCTATTGGCCCTAACGGTTGTCATGTGGCCAGCAGCCAATGACGTGCTTCATTTTATCACAATTTTAAATAACCTAAATATGAACTTATACGCGGGAAATTTTACCGGGGAATAGATTAAATACTATGTTGATTGGTATTTAATGAGTGACAAATGGAATACTTATTTGAAAAAAATACATATACTAGGTTAAGTATTTTTATAAACACGACTTTTCTATATGGTTTTATCAATCTGATAATTGATAGATCCCCAAATCAGAGTTCATTATCATTTTTTGAGTGGCAATTCGAATGTTTCTTTTGTACGACAGATTAATAATATATTACTGTATTTAAAATTAAATATACTTGAATCTAATGGCTTTCTATGTCTTTAAATACAGATTGAATATTGCATCTCGCCTTTATATTAATTAATTCCATTTATGTAAATTCAAGTTTATAACTTATAATAGAAATAACATATAATTGCCATTATATAAATTACTGGAAGATAATTCTATACGTCTATTGACAATAATCATTCTACGGCTTGATAAGAGTTAGATAAGCACTTGGTGAATTCCGGGAAAACGGATATTGACCTTAGTAGGCGACCATTCGCATTAGTCCAAGTATCTTAGTGTAACGCTTACATCGTTTCATTAACCGTGATCATTAATTACTAATGAAAAAAAAAGAATAAACAAGAAAAATGTGACAATGAGAAAACCTTAAATTGAATGTCATATCTTAAAAAAATTCAAAAGCCATGAAAGTACAGTAAAATAACGAAAATTTAATTGAACACAGTAACCGACATACAATTCTGTTTAATTTCGCATGAATTAAAAAATTCGCTCTTTACTCAAGTTTTAATCAACATCAAGAACTCCTGATTAATTTCCATCGAATTGATCAGTTAATAAATTCAAACAATTGACGGCTTATAGAAGCTAAATATAGTGTTGATAAATAATTAAGACTAAACTGACCTTCGTTATCATAGTGATTATAAAATACGATAAAATTTTCGACATAAATTTTGTTATTCTGCGAATGCCAAAGCGTATGGTGGAATAAAGTTTATAAGTTTTAATTGCATAACGCCCGACATAATAACCAGAGGAAAGTTGTTTTTGAGGAATTAAAGAGTTGCAGTTTTCTTTTTTTTTTGTTCCTCTTTACGACTCTTCTGCCTAACGGCGCGGTGATGTTGGTACAATTGCTTAGAGACTTGACTATGGAGTGGAATGGCGACGGAGAGATGGAAGAGCGGAGATCCATTCGCGACTCGGGCAAACCGCTCAAGAAATACGGCAGTACTGCTAAACACATGACACGAAACGAAAATCTCATCAAGCACACCGTCTCCAAGACGGATACCCTTCAGGGTATCGCACTCAAATATGGGGTCACGGTACGTATTTGACAATCGGTATGACTTGTCTAGATTCTTATGAATTTTCACGTTCTGCTTCTTTAATTTTTTGTTTTCACTTTTTTGCTTTCTGTCTTAGACTTGCTAAATCGTTGAGACAATTTACCATTGAAGAATATTTAAGTGACACTGCGTAGTGTGTCAATTTTGACATTTTTTTGTTATATTCTGTTTATTTTCTATTTATATTTATATTGAGTCTATCTAATTTTTAAAACAGTAATAATATGGTCAGAGGGTTTTCATATTGTTGGAATATTTTAATTTTATTCTGATATATATTCTTTTGTTCGCTTAGATGATTTTGTATGTGAGTTGTTTATACATATGTTGATTTTCTAATTGTTGGAATGTAATGAATTTTGTTTCTGAGTTTGAGTCTTTTATTCACTTTCATTTTTGATATTTTATTATTGAGATTGATTAAATGTCTGATATTTAAGGTGTGTAGAATTGTCCTAATTTTAACAGATGGCAGGCAAGTGAATTGACCCAGATTTTTATGATAATTTATGCTTTCTATTTAGTCTTTTATTGTCCAGTTGTTTAATGATATATATAACAAATATAATATTTCTGAATTTAATCCTTTTTATGTAAAAGTGTCATGATCTTAAAAGTATGACTTATTAAACTATCTGTCTTTAATTTGTAGCTGTTAATATTCAATGAGAAACATGTCATGCAATAGAAATGAATTTTTTAAAATTTGTACTATTTTTTGTCATTCATTTTTGTATAATATTAATATATGGGTATTTTTTTATTTGTCTGGAACTTTGAGTTCATGTACCACAGGATGCTTGTGAACATCTAATCATGTCACATGCTAATTATTTTGTGTTATCAATCACATGCTGCAAATATTTCACACAAAATTAAGAACAAATAGTCAAATATTACTCAATGATACAATGTAGAATGCCGTAGAGTAACTGCTAGAATTCCTAATGGCACTAACAACCATTACTGACTAGACAGCTGTTTGACATTCATAAAGAATATCTGAATATCTTTTACATTCATCAATAATGTTTTATATATTTGAATACAAATTAGAATTCACATGTAATTTAACATAACGAGTTTCATATAGTATTTTAGGATATACAAGGTAAAGCATTTAAATTGAGACTGTCAAGTAACTTAGGAACAAGGTCTTATATGAAAAAAATATTTAAGACAAAAGTTGTATGGGTTTAACGGGGCAATAGAATAGCCTAGTTTAATTTTATTGATGGAGGATTTTAATTAAAGTAGGCTATTCTATTCTCCCCTTTAACCCATACAACTTTTGTCTTAAACATTTTTTCATATAAGACTCTTCTTCTTAAGTTATTTGATAGTCTCAATTTAAATGCTTCATCCTGTATATATTTATAGCATTATTATTCATTTCAGATGGAGCAAATAAGACGAGTAAACAGGCTATGGGCGTCGGATAGTTTATTTCTACGAGAGCATTTGCTCATTCCTGTATCTGGAGATAATCCAATTCCTTCGCAACATGATGGCAGTGTCTCATCTGAGTCCGATGCTACTCAAAATATGGTAAGAGTAATTGCTATAAAGTTACTGCCAATGATATTCTAGCTAACTAAAATAAATTAATAGTAAAACATTATTTTTGATTTCTAGACTTCTAGTCAGTCTTCTATCTCGTTGTCGATGGATGATGAAGGATCGATAAATGATTTTTTAGCAAAAATGGACACTTCGATAGCAAATATGAAACAGGAAGTTAAAAGGGCTCAAGGAAACAGTGAGTAAGTTACATGAACTTTGGCGCTTTTATTCTTTCCGTTTACATTCACATGATCAATTGCATTACTGACAGCTTATTATCAATATTTTCGCTCGCTTTCATTCGCTCAGATTTGGAGATGAGACGTAAGTATATTTTTGAATGCCTGTCCTAATGCATCTTCATTTGCTGAAATACATAATAAATATTTCAAGTAATTTTTTAAATAATGAATAGAACTGTGCTAAAGCAGTAAGTAATCAAAAGCAAAATTATCAATCTTCCTCAGAAAGTCTCAAATTTCGCATCGACTAAAATCCAAATGATTCTATTGATATCACGAACACACTCTGCTACTAGTACAGTATGACCTAATACAATATTTGATCATTTAATAAATGACATACTATCACGACCAAGTGACATTTCATTTACAAGCAGTCATAAATTCATAATTTGCACAATACTAAACTTCTGTAGTTTTTTCCACTTAGCACTATAATAATTTTCAACGATTCTCCACTAACTCAATAATTCCACAGCATTCAAGTAGTAGCATGACCAATCACAAGTCATTCCAGCATTAGTAGAGCACTTTTTATTTTTGTCATTCTCCAAATGTCGTCACTGTGCATGAGCGCTATGAATGAAATATACACGAATAATTCTAACAGTTAAACAATTCTAAGTAAATGATTTAAAAACAATTGAGAATCTCTCTCCATGTGCGATTCTTCGCCTTTAATTTTTTTTCCAGGTTTTGCCACGAGGGGGATGACACGTTCGTTCAGCGACGGCGCGCCGTTGCTCGATTACGTAACTCACATCCAGTTACCTCAACCGCACATTCAACCACGGCGTCCACCTCCGAGTTATTAAGGCCGTCGTCTTCAGGAGACGTGCACAACCTCCCTTCAGCCGTTGTGATGACTCAGGGTAGACGAGTCCAAACCTCCTTGCAGAGATTGCAGCAGCAACAGGACGAGATGTTTCAGTTATAGCAGTTAAGGTTCGGTCGGCCGGTCAGGTGCGTCAGGTCTTAGGGTTTTAAGGTCTATTAAGGCTTCGTCCAGTATAGCTTAAAGTCAACAGCCTAAAAAATTTAATACCGGAAATCAATGTAAATGTAAGTGGAAATAACTCATAGGATTATGGGTCTTGACACTCTGCAGTAAAAGAATTTTCCTTTTTGCGAATTTCAAAATTACCCCGTTGCCAAAGAATCCTGGATTATTTTCGTATTAGTTTTATTTTTGTAAATGTCTTATTGTTAGGCTAATAGATTATATATTTTTTCTTTTTATTTCTACTGCATACAGTCTATATTTACTTTCTACTTAATTCACACACATTTCATCTTGAAAGAAAATCAGTTCTTAATATTTGCATTGATCTTCTGATGTTCAATTGATCAATTGATCTTCAATTTCTGATTCATGAGATTTACCTCTATAAATGATTATACAGCTGTACAAATATTGTTAGGATATTTTTTCTTTCTGCTACTTATACATACTCAGTTACGCGTTAGATAAACTTTGAGGAATCGAAGCGGATTAGCCACTGCGGACTTTAAGCTGTAAAATTTAGTGGTAATTTTCATTGTTAAATTTCTAAGTGAAAAATTATTGAGCCGTTTGCCATAATTATTATGTCCTGTTCGGCCACTTTTTCTTATGCAAACGTACTCTATTTTTTTTACTTAGTAATATAGTGGTAATCAATTTCCTGATGCCTTACGTGTACCCCGCCCCACCCTTCCGAATCACGACTATGGAAATTTCCAAATGCTTACTACGTTATAGTCTACAGACACAATCCCAAGGTATTCTTATATTTCTAATATAAATTAATTTCGACCTTTTCTTATCAATGAGAATAATCATATAACTTAAACAGTCTCGTGTTATAAATGACTGAATAGAAACTGATTTATTTCGAACAATTTATTTCAAACGATAAGTTTCACAATTGTTTTCTGTCATTTGTCAATCGTACGACGAAAATTTAACAGGATCATTTTCCTTCAGTGGTATTATATCCCCGTAGGGAATAAAGTGCCAGACAGGATCTTCATTCTCACGATTCAACTCGAAGCAAAACAAAAGAACCTTCGATTATCTTTCTCCTACGCGATCGGTCATACGAATATTAAATACGTAATTACCATTTATTTAACATTATTGAATATCATTATATTACAAGAAAGTAATACTGCGAAGCTTCAAGTGAAAGTCTATTGGTAGAATTCTACGAATTATAATTTTTTCTCAATACGTTCAATCCAAGCAGGATTTTCCAAAACCATTAAACTCGAGTTATTTATTCCGATGCCTCCCACATAATAATTGATCATTAGTAAACTAGCAGAACCATTTACGGTACACGTAATACCTATTACGGAACGTCATTGTAGTTTTGTCCAAGTCATCAAGGTCAATTGTCAACTTGAGTATAATCAGAACTAAATGAATGGAGGCGTACTTTCGCGCCAATGTCACACAAAATAAATTCATCTAATCATAGAAATTACAAGTGACTTTCCTTTTTCTTTTTCTTATTGAAATATTACGATCCTTCTTCTTTCTTCTTTATTAATGCTTTGCACAAATAATAATGACGACCGATCGAACACTATAGCGTTCTTTGTCGCGAAGTACACAGATATATGTATACTCTTATACATACATATAGAAATCGTTAAACGTAACGACGTGGTTTGCATTATTGTATAACTATGTACAGTCTTTGTAATAAGTTTCTAATACCAAACGATTTCTAAAGTAGCGGCAGTTTGGACTGTATAGGAGACCTTGTATAATAGAATTTAACATGCAATACGTTAGGCTCTAGAATCACAATTTTTCTTCCTCTTTTCTTTTTCGCAATGTGGACATAAAATTGGTCCATCAGAGTAACAGAAAGTAAATATATTATGATAGCATTTCGAGCACTTAATCATGATTGCACTGTTGTTAAATAATTGAATGCTATGAAACTATGTTAAAATTTCGAAATTCGCGATTCAATAAAAGTGGATGAAAATGGATGGGAAATACCATATCCGAGCTTGAGATTTAGATATATTTCTTGTTGCGATTACCGTTACAGTGAATATACTTATTATTATTATTAGTTAAAAGAGTATATATATATAATTAATAATATATTATAAACTATATATCTATTCCGAGACTCCGATATATAAGTTGTACTTTATACTTGGCAGTTGAGTTAGACCAATCGTTATTGGGACCGCCTTGAAGAAAAAGAACTTTGAAATAACACCGTTTGATATTAATTACAGTATTTAAGGAAAAGAGAATACAGAAATCTTTGTTAGATGTTCAGGTTTCTAATGACGCTTCGCTCGTAAGGTCGCTTATATGAAATGTAGATTGTAATACCAATATTTTGAAATTTATTCTCAGAGTTAAGTTTGTTCCTATCACTAGTTGGAAATCTTAATAAAAAGCGGCCTTATTAGAGATGCAGGAAAAGACGTTATGTGTACACATAACATTACTTTTCACTGTGCTGAAAACGTTAGGAAACTTAATATATATGAGATGATAAATTCTTTTAAAAATACGTTTGATCGATTGTATTAAATGCAATTATGAATATAATAATTGGAGATAAAAAATTATTTATTTGTATTTTTGTTTTCTTCTGGTTTAAACACATTTGTTATATTGACAGAGGCGGCTTGATTACGACATTACCTAAATCATCCAAATCTGTTCAGGCGACTGAGACGTTACGTGTATAAAATGTATGTATGTTACTTTAGAAAAAAGTTACTGATAAGAAAGGATTATAAAGTATCGATTCGAGGCTACTGACAAGATCTGACATATATCTGATATGTGTACTGTAAATATGATTAATATAAAATATGCGTAAAGACATCCAGCCAATATTGTATTTAGTTGCAGTATTTGTTACAGTGGCGGTAGACAAATACAAATACTCACACTATGATCAATGTTTGATAATATGAACAATTTTGATTCAAAGGACAGTCCATCCTCTCGATGCTCCTATTCACTTTCTTAAATTGCATTCAATATGGATTTATGGAAAATAGAAGTGATATAAAGTATACAGAGCTTTGCGAAAGCCCAAAAATGATAGCAATGGATGCAGTGGATATATATGATATATATATATATATCAATTGATCAGTCTTATTTGCTAATCTATCAATGAATTTGATTGTCAAATTCAATATGTGAACTATACAAAATGGTTATGTTGACTTATTTGGAGACTAAAGATATAAATTGCTGATTATTAATAATCGATTAATCGTTTACGATTGGGATTAGATTTTGAAACACGTCCTAGTGATTAGCAGCCAACTCTCGTTATCGGTCTACTACTGTAATGCTTGGAGAGCATTTATATATTATGAAGAATATGAAGAATAAATAAATGTAGATGCTATAGAATACTTTTTAATTGCTGCTTAACAATTATCAACGAGTATTCTCGTTGTGAATTAAGCACCAGAGTGTGTCTATTTAGAAATTCTATTTTTACACAAAAAACTGTTACAGTCATTGAAGTTCATTCGATACTGAAGCACAAGTGTTGCATGGAGCACGTTTTCTTTTTTAGTTTAAATGGACTATTTAAGAATTCTTACAAGTGACCATTTAGCAATCGTTGCATTTTTTGGTCATTCTTCATAATATTTGACTTCACCTGACATATTTTGTCAAGTTCTTGTTTTATCAGGTCTTCGATGTCCTTTAATGTTTTCTTCATTGGCTCTACAGATTCTTGAGTTTCTCTATAAGTGCGCAATTGACAATTATTACTTATTTGATATTCGATAATTTATGAATTAATACAATTTTAAGAAATCATACTTACACTTGTTCCTTTTCTAACTCTTTACTTAAACGATTGTACTGACTTCTCCATTCTTGCAATTCTCTTTGCATCATTTCTACATCTTCCTGTAAGATCAATTAGTTTCGTTGTATTACACAGGATATCCGAAAGTATAAGGATAACAAATATTACCTGTAAATAATCCAATAATTTTCCCAAAGGATTTGTTGCGCGTGTTAATGTTTGTATTGCACCTCGAAGCTTGTCAACTTCCTTAACAGTGACTTCACGGTCCCTTCTAGAACCTGCTTCCCATTCCTAAAATCATATTATTCCACTTTCAACTTGTAAGTACAATGTGGACATTTTTTGGAAGGAAACCAAACGTTGTATTCGTACGTCAAAAGAAAGCATCAGGTTTTAAAAGTAATTAGTACCCTTACAATCTCCACTTTCTTAGGCATAACATCAACGTTATCAGTGTTGACCAGTTCTCGTTGGGTTTCCAAGATCTGTGCCACTAGGTGTCCATGTTCACTAGGTAATTGACTATCTGTATGACTAGGTCGTTCAATTCCTAAAGAATCCCCACCACCGCTACCAGTTTCCATCACTACCATATCATCTGCATCATCCTCTTTGGTGTCATAATTTTCCACTATGACATTGACGTTTCCCATAGGTGTCCTTAAAAGAAAAGTAGTGACAGATTATTGATCGATGAGTGACTTTTAGCATGGAAGAAAATGGTTATACACATTGATAAGATTATGAATCTATACGCAATAATTTTATGCATCGAATAAACTGAGCTTACGATATGTCTTCATTAACAATGTATTCTGTTTTGGATTTCATTCTTGGAGCTGCTGGTCTTGCGCTCATTGGTCTTGCACTTGGGGGCCGTAAAGAAGTTTTAGGTCTATTAGGTACTGTAGATATACTGGAAGTAATATTTCAAAATTAAAAAATAGACACCTGTTTAAGTTTTTTTTTAGAAAAATTACTATGAAATTACTTGGCTGATTCTTCGCTGTTTGAAACCGTTCCCATTGGTCGAGGTGGTGGACTTCCTGGATGTTCAAAAGTATTTTGTTTATTTGTGATGCTAAATTTTCTCTCGGATTTTCCAGACTCCGGTTTTTCAATATGTTTTGTATTCTCTGAGAATCTAGCATCATTGTCTTCTTCTTTTTTGGAAATGTCTTCGGGAGCTATGCCTTTCTCACGTGCCTCTTTTGCTGTACTTAAACGGGATTTCTGTTCACGAGAGGATGCATCTTCGGAATCTTTTACTTTTTCTTTTTGTTGTAATTCATTTTGTTGATGATGACCCGAGGATGATCGTCGAGTACCACTGGATGATTTTTGAGCTTCAGCTTCCTTGGGTTTATGTTTAGGCGAGTTTGTGGCATCGAGAAGGGCTGATTTGATCTTTACAGCATCTGAAGACTTTGGAGATGTAACATTTTGCTTTGATTTGACAGAAGATGATTGTCTCTTTTGACGCATAGATGAAGGTGGTTTTTCTGTAATAGACTGCTAAAAGATAACAATATATAGACCATAATATGTATATAATAATATAAATAATATTTTGTTGATATAGTTCCAATATTCAAATTTACTTTATTGTTTTACCTCTGATGGCACGACATTAGTAACTGCTGTATCCTCGACTGGATTGTCAACTTTTCTTTCATTCTCTTTCTCTTGCAGACGTTTCTTTTCCCGTTTATCATCCTCTCGTGTCTTAACTTCCCTAGAAGCTGTTTTCTCAATACTAGAGGATCTTTTCTTAGCTTCTGTCAAGACCTTTTCTTTTTCATTGACTTTTCTAGTTTGCGAGGAATGTCTTGATGCTGGTTTTTTAATGGGATCCTCCTTAGTTGATGGTTTAGGCTTTGTGTGTGTGCGAGCTTTCTTTTCACAACTTTTTTTATAGTGCTCGATTGCCTCGACACTGCTCACCTGTGATACAGAGTAAACTAAATAATTTCAAAAAATCTTAAGCAATCAGTAGGTATGAAAATGACTAACTTTCTTATCTAAAGCTCTTCCAATTGCATGTAGTAATTCATTAGTTTTTGTTGGTTCGTGACCAGCAATAATTTTACTAGCTCGCACTGTTAAATTTGTTCCAGTAATTAACTCTGTATAAATAAAGAATTCAATTAGTTAGTTTGATTTGATTAGATCGCCTAGATTATATGTATCTTTCTACAATATATATTAACTTCTTATACTTACTAACAACATCGATAAGTTTTGTTAGGTATGCTAACTTAGCCTCCTTGTCTTTAATATTATCAGAATTCAATTCTTCCTCCGTAAATAAACCACTCAGAAATCCAGTTTCTTTTATAATCTGTAGAACAATATCAAAGTATCCCAATGATTTATTCGTATATGATACAACAATGACATTGACATTAACAGTGCATATTATACAAAGTGCTACAATGTAAAAGTTTAGAGCATACAGCTGAAATAATATCGTGAAGAAATCGAAATGGTGGTTTTCTCAGTAGCTTTTCAGTTAGCGGTGGTTTTTTGAAATATTTTCCAAGCAAATCTTGTGTCCTTTTAATAATTTCAGGTTTTACGTCTTCCGTCATTGATATTTTTTCAAAATCAATGTACCAACACGCTGTTAATTCTTTGACTTTAATCAATATCTTTTTAAACTCACAACATATGAAGCAGTAAGGACTCTAAAGTATTACGAGAATTAGGATCTAATACAAGTGAGACTGATAGAATCTTTGCTACGTTTTGCAAAGGAGAATTAAACGTCAAGAAATCGTGGTTTTAAAGAAGCATCTGTAATGTCAAATAGTAACTATGGCAACAATAGTCACGTGGTCTGCGAAATGAGATAGTGTTCGTGTAAATTCGTAGTAGAGAGTCAATTATTGTCGTTCGGCATTTTTTGACGTTACGGGTGTGACTGTTATATTGTAAATAAATTATAAATATTGTAATGAATAATATATAAAAAAGCTATAAATAAATATAAAATGCGACTAGTCACGTTATCAGCAATATTGTCCATATATTTATTGAGAGCAAATGCCTGGGAGGTAAGATGTTAGAAGTGAATAATTTTTTGGTTATAGAATTTGATAATCTCATATTTAGTTTACTTCAAATATTATTTAATATTATGGACTTTTTCAGATACCTGAGAATTTTGCAGAAACAGGACATTCTAATAACTGGGCTGTACTAGTGGACACATCTAGATTCTGGTTCAATTATCGTCATGTGGCAAATGTTCTTTCTATTTATCGTAGTGTGAAACGCCTTGGTATTCCTGACTCTCAGATAATCTTAATGATTGCTGATGATATGGCATGTAATCCTAGAAATCCAAGGCCTGCTACAGTTTTCAATAATATTAAACAGCATATAAATGTTTACGGAGATGATGTTGAGGTTGATTATAGAGGATATGAAGTTACTGTTGAAAATTTTGTACGATTACTTACCGGGAGATTACCACCGGAAACACCAAGGTCTAAAAAATTATTGACAGACGAAGGATCCAATATATTGATCTATTTGACTGGTCATGGAGGAAATGGGTTTTTAAAGTTTCAAGATTCCGAAGAGATAACCAGTCAAGAGTTAAGTGATGCATTGGAGCAAATGTGGCAGAAGCGAAGATATCATGAAATCTTATTTGTTGTCGATACTTGCCAAGCTAGTTCCATGTATGAGAAATTTTATTCACCAAATATATTAGCTGTAGCTTCCAGCCTCGTTGGCGAAGACTCTTTATCTGTAAGTCTATCGCTTATCAATAGATCTTTCATAAAATATTACAACTTACAATATAATTGTCTTCTTATAGCATCATGTCGACCCAGCTGTAGGCGTTTACATCATAGATAGATACACATACTATGCATTAGACTTTTTAGAAAAAGTGGAACCGTCCAGTTCAAAGAAGCTCAGTGAATTTGTAAGTGACATTTATAAGCGTTTAATTAGTAAATCTAATTCTGGAATTAATGTCATAAAAACTAATGTATTTACATATTTTACAGCTCAAAGTTTGTCCTAAACATTATTGCTTATCTACTGTGGGTGTGCGTACAGACTTGTTCAGAAGAGATCCTAAGACTGTTCCAGTTACAGATTTCTTTGGTTCATTAAGGCCAGTCGAACTGACAATGAATATAGTGAATGTTTTGCCAGCGCACGTGAACAAAACTCAACCAGTGGAACCTGAAGTGAAATACACTTATGTATCACAGTTTCCTAATTTATCTAGCTACACATAACAATTAAATACCAATAATCTTTGACATGCGTTTTCCAGAAATTTATTAAACATGTCATGACATCATTTCATTTTACTTACATCTCACTGTTTCGTAGTTATCCAAATTCACATAATTAAATATTTTATCTATGTTATTTCTGCATAAAACTGTCGCCAAATGAAAAACAGACTGTCACTTAAAAGGGAAAAGAAAGATTAAAAATCAGAGTAACAAAAATACATGTATCCTACTAATTGATAAGAGAAAAACACTGTTAGTTCCATGATGTAATTAACATTAAGATAGGTTGCGGTAATGATTATGACATTACGCCGTTTCACCAATAATATCTTTGGCTTTAATTATTACGCAGAAGTTTCCAGAAGAGTTTCGATTTCATAGAAATAAGAGGACGATAAATAATAATTACGCATTACGTCTTTAATCAAGTATTTTTAAATATGTGTAATATCTCATACGCTACACGTCATTTCTAAACATCATAAAAACCGTCAAAAATATGATTCCATGATTCCAATCAGTATTAATTTTTTCTTTAAATTACGTTCAAAGTTTTTTCAAAACTTGCATCAGTCGGTCTGTTTCGAGAAAAAACGATAATTAATTTTCAATGATCATTGAAAGTTAATGATATAATTATTTGAACAAAACATATAAACGTGACTTGATACATACAATTAATTAAATTAAAATGTGTCGTAACATTGTTAATCTTGCGAAATACGTTTCTCGGGGTTAAAGAACATCATGTGTGAAATCGCAATCATTAAAAATACTTGCGACTATGTACAAATCGCCATTTACGTTACTTGTTTTATGTACTTCCTATTTCCGGCCTTGACTTTCTTCATATGAAGTTTCAGCGTATGTTGTAGATATTGATAAGAGACATCATCCATGCTTTACTATTTATTGTGTGTTTCTATACATTTAAAGTATGTCTATGCTTTGCCGATAGAGTATACATTTGATTTCCTAGAAGTTTCCTTTCGCTTGTTTGCAAAGGAAATGAAAACAGTAAGCTGTAAATATTTTTCTGAAAGCTATGATTAATGGTAACATTTAAAACGTAAGACTTCGCGGAATAATCTATGACCAAAGTCGATAAAAATATCGCGAGATTCACGTATCAATCTATAAAAGCAACAACCAGTTCAGCGGATGTTCAGTTCACAAACCAAAGCTGACGAGTGAAATTTTCAAAAACATTGAACAAATAATTACGTTAAGGAAAAATTTGTTTTTGACAAAATTTCACTAAATTGGGAGCAAGTCAGTCAATTTTTTAAAATACGAATTTCGAACGGCAATTTTTATAAAACAATCCGTGAACTTGATTAAAGTAAGTGAATCGTGAGATTTGTATAAAAATACTAAATATTGTTAATTTCCAAAATATTTTAACAATAACTCAATATACGTCGATTCAAATTTGGCCTTGTTTCATTAATTCTTCTCATATTTCAGATGCATTTCTACGTGTCTTCTGTTTTCTTCGTGACAGTTGCGATTTTCGCAATTTCAGCGGCTCCAGTGGACGAAAAATTCATCGAGGTACACGATATGGATTTAAGTGAATTTTTTCCTCTGAGTCCACATGATCCAGCGGAACATATGTTTCCAAGATCGCCTGTGGTTCCGTTTGTTCCAGTTTGCATGATTAGGGGCTACTTACGCGATCCGTTTAACTGCGCCAAATTTTACTATTGCAAAGAATCTCATGCCACACCTTTGGCCTTTTATTGTAAACCTGGATTTATTTTTGACATCGATAAAACCACCTGCGATGATCTAAATTACGTCACGTGTTAATTCGTTACATCGATTTTCTGTTTCCTCGTTAATTTAAAAAAAAATGACACTTACTATACTGATTATTTATTTGTTATTTAATCTCACGCTTTTTCATGCTATTATTGTTACTGTTATTAAGAACATTTAACTTTGATAGTATTATGTAATATAGATATCATAAGAGATGCGATCGTTACGTGATACTCATTAGTGTATTATAAATTTTAATTATTCTTAATGGCAACGAAATTAAAATGAATTAGTAACTGTTAAAATGATATTTGCTATATTGTTAAGTTGTCGATAATTTGATTGTGTTACTTTATTATGTTAATTGATTGACTGTATAAATATATAATTTGTTCTCAGAGATATAATGTTGCATTCATCATTTATTGCGTTATTTATAATACTAAAAGCTTTCCATTCTTATCATAGGTAATTAACAATCATAGATCATTAGCATAGTTTTAATATAATTGTGGAATTAGTTTCTTAATCTATTTGGAGCAAAACGACCATGAAACTATATCGGTGTCTTTAGTTTCTTGCTATCTTTATTTATCGCAGTTCATTATCATTAATTTCAATATCCAATGACAGTCTGCATAGTTGAATTTTCTATACTCGTACGAAATTCATTCTCCTTGATATTAATCTGGCCTTATTCAATGACCACTTCACAATATTTTTGAGATTTTTTGCATGTAGTGATAACATTCTCTTCGTTATACATCTTAATTGCTCGCGATGACGCAATTTGAAATTCTATTAAATTTCAACGAACAAGATAATCATTGAAAAATCATGATATTGAAAGTATCTCTTATTGTCAATAACGTACGTTTTGCTGTTGTCCAAATATTTTAAAACAATCGTTTGTTATTAACACTCAACCAGATTCTGATAATTGCAGACATTTAGTTTCGTATCGAAATAAAGACCAACAGCACAATTAAGCTCAATGACTTGATAATTATTTGAATACACCTTTTGACATAAGTAGAATTTCCGGCAGTTATTTGGATCTCGAATGAAACCGGATGCTGCGCAGATGTCAGAGATGGCGCCACCAGGAGCACTCTCTTGGGTATTCCCCGTATTCGTAACAGTTGTTGATGGACCCGTTGTTGATTCTTAAGAAACATATTTCATTGTTTTTTTACTGGGTACGTATCGATATTCATTGTTAATATTACTAGTATTGTCACAACTCTTCGCGAAAGTTAGGACTCTCTTACATCTATCGAATAAGAAAAGACACGCCGATTTGCAAAGAGAAGAAATATTTATTCAGAGTCAACCTCTGTCACGTCCGTTCGGTTCGGTTTCGTTCACACGATTCAACACCTCCCCTCTTTTATTTTTTATTTAACCAAAAAATAACGTCGAATAGTAATAGATCGCTAAGGTCAAATACGCTGTGTTAAATAAATTTGCGACAGCATTGTTTACAAATTTATCAACTTATGCAATTGCTAATAAAGTTAAGAATATCGATACTATCGATGCTGTCAACGAATGTCGGTACGTACCTATATCATTTGATGAATCAGAATCATCACGTAAAATGTTGTTGAGCGCTTTTAACAGTGGATACTTGTCACCACAAATTCCATTAAAATCATCAGTCTCGATGCTCCATAACATGGCACCACCGAGGCCATGTTTTTTCACAAAATTTGCCTTTTCAGTGAGGGATCTAAAAGTTGATTAAAAAGAATATTCACTACTCTTCATAACATTTGATGGAAATATTTGTATACCTATTTATCATTACAATGGTAAACTGATTGATGATGTTGAAAATCAGCAGTAACCGAATGGCCGAAAATTCAATTAAATCACGTTAAATAGAACTTACTTTGCGTCGTCGTATCCTACCCATTGATTTCCTAAATGAGCATATGGAATATTCTGCTCGTTATCCCATTCGACAACCCAGCCCTCTTTCATCTGCAATTCACAGATCTCATTGTATCCAAGCATCCCAGACTCCATGGTATATGGACCAGGATTTCCAGGACCAATGACAGCAGATCCTAGCTTGGCAGTATTAGGATCCATTAGAGTAAAGGATCTGCCATAAAAACCAGTGCCTAGAATAAGTTTTTCAGCTTGTGCACCCTGAGCCAGCCAATAATGGACGGAGGCATTCTACGAAATGAAAATGATAAGATGGATATCAAGATGTTTTTTTAATAATTTAAAAGTGAAAGTAAAAAACAAACTTACCACATTCAAACTCTTGCCATAACTTGACTCCCAGGAAGCGGCATAAAGTGGCGCATTGTGACCAGCAAATTTATCCCAGGCGCCATGAAAGTCGTAAGCCATTAGATTAATGAAATCCAAGTACTTGGATAATGAGGGAATGTCGTATGATATTCTAGCAGAACTTTCGGTCGCGGCAACAGCAGCACTCAGGATCAAATTATTGTCATCGAATACTGATCTAAGTTCTTTTAGAAGTAAAACCAAATTTTCTTTATCCACTGCCGCACCACCACGTTGTGCTGGATATTCCCAGTCGACGTCGAATCCATCGAAATTATATTTTTTAACGAACTGTAATATATTTCTGACAAATTTCGATCTCAGAATTGGATCCTTTATCACGTTGGAGAACGTAGTTGATTCTCCGCTATAACCGCCAATGGCTAACATTGTTTTGGTACCAGAGCTGATTTCACGAAGTGCATTAAATTTGTTAAAACCACCGCGACCGGAACCGTCGTCTACGTCGGTCCAGGAATCCAAAATTTTGATTTCGCCATTCGACGTTAATCCAACGAAGGAATAAATCATGTGAGTACAAAGTGTTGGATCGATTTTGGACACGTCGAATTTACCATTGCCAAGGCGGTAGACTGACCAGCTTCCAAAGTAACATACTATTTTATCTGTCGATTTAATTTGTCAAATTAATTTTGAAGAGTCGTGCGAATGATTGTTAACTGATTATTTTTAATTTAGATATTTCTTTATTAATTATTACTTACGTTCTTGAACTTTTGCAGCAGCTAGTGCTACGCTTATTGCCAAGAATACCGTCCACGCGCGCATCTGTCAAAGTATATTATTTTATTGGGAGGATGAAATAATTACTGTTTTATTTTCGAGATTATTTTATTATTTTACTTTTATGCATTATTAAATTCTTCATCAAAATTTTATGAAACGAATTTCTTTTTGTATTATAAAGATGACAATAATTATATTATAAAAAGAAATTATATCCATTCAGCTTATATGCTTGCAATCGATTGAATTTTTTATAAATACTTTCTGTTAGGTATTTATTGATTGAATATATCTCGTACAGTAATAAATCATACAATAACGGTAAAAGGTTTTTAATAAGTTTTTTCTACGTCCCCCTTAGTAGTGAATAAAAGTAATTAATAGTGAAACAATTAGAGAATCATAATTTTTAAATATTTTATGGAAATTCAATTTTCTAATTACCTTCCTAGCGGTAAGAAATGACACCTATTCTGTCAAAGTTCCTTGATTCACAGTATAATTTGCACAGATTTACAGTTCCGTTTGCAATCTGACAGCAAGTGCTCGCAGTGTATCCCTTATATGCACATATCAATAAACTGCACACATGTGCATTTCACTGTTGCACCGAAGGACAATAAAAGTAACTTAAATATTGTTATCTTTTATCCTGACATTGTGTATACCTAGATGAGATTTCATATAAGCTAATAAGAGTTGAAGATTGAGAAAAAGTTTGACGAGTAGAAAATTAGTTTAACTAAAAGAATGAAGATAATTTTGGTTAAATATGATACATACAAATATATTATTTTGGGAAATATACCATTACTTAAGGTGAAATATCTCTTTTTCTTTTTCTAATCTGATACAATTGTAAAGGAGGGTGTGCTCGGATGATTCACTTTGCAATAGTAAAGTGATGGTAAATCATTATTAATTCTATGAAGTTCTTATGATATTTATATTCTAGGAATATGCATATAGCATGATAATAATTGTAAAGATATGAATGATTAAAGTTCTTAATTCAATATGGAATATCTTGAAAAAATATTCTTTTTTTCAATGATAAGGATTTAATGCGATATAGATTTACATTGGTGTATTGTAGGACACTGTACATAATGAATAACACAAAATATGTTGTGACTACATAGTAACTTAAAATTTCCTTAGTCGTGCAAGTTTATTTTGCCGATTCATTCCTATCTTTCTTACTTTTTTCCAATATTCTTTCGTATTAGGATCTAGTTCCTCTAACTTTGGTGCTGGACCTGTTCTAAGTGACCAAAGCCAATCAGGATATTCAGAGTCAGGTTTTATTTCAACGTCCTTTCCTTCCTTCATAACGTTAGTGCCACAGACGAATTTTAAGAGTTTATTAACATCTGTTTCAACCGGCAAGACCTTCTTCTCCACTACCACACCAGTTTTCTTTCCCTTTTTGGCTTTACCTAATCCTGTGACTATAAAATAAATAACAATCATTTACATGTTTTTAGTAAAATTAGTCACATCTAACCTCGATATTCTACAAACTAACATATTTTTTTCCAACAATTTACTGACAATAATGCAGATTAAACTTATAAGAATACCTGGTCCAGCGTAACCATTTATCTGTATAAAATATTGTGCGGGTACGATTGATTTCTTCTGAAACCTAAGAAAATTAATCGCTGAAAACAAACTCATCTTGAATGAATGTGGATAAATTTAACCTATATAAACTAAGAGATATACGTCCCACGATTTATTATACGTCGGTATAATGGTCCAAATCAAATAACGTTTTGCATTAATTCGAATTTTCGACGATAAGGCAGCACCTCCTGGGCGTGATAGGTAGCGCCATCTCTGAGAGAACCAGTGAACTTTCTCTGATAAAATAATACCGAATGCGTTAGAAAATCGCATGGTCGAAACTTCAATTGGTCAATTCGTATTAAATGAATTTGCAATAGTTAGTATTTTCGCCGATAATAACCCTTCTAATGAGCTATGACCCCTCCGAGACCTTTAGACGTTAATTACCCGACGTTGAAGTATACCAAATTATACATAGATTCACACTTCAGAGAATCGACCTTTTTTATCGACAGTGAATCACTATCCTCTATACCGAAAGCACACCACACGGCCTTTTACCTTCTTTCCCTTAAAAATAAAAAATAAAATTGAAATAAAGCAGCATAGTTTTGATAATTTACAATGCATACTATACTATATCGGTTGAAAATAAAAATCAGAGTAATACGAATAACGCACAGTCTATCAATAAAATCAATCTTCTTAATACACGCTACGTATAATGCTACTCCAATAAAATATCCACTTTCTCAAAGACAGACGGTGTTTCCAAAGTTTCTAAAATATTACATCCATACCCGTATGACTGGAAAAATATCTGAAACATCAGATATCATTTCAGGTTTATAATCAGAAGCATATATATAATTAAATATATGATAGGCTCAAGTGCGCCTGCCGGTTGCGTACGTGTAACGCGCAGTAACAAACAAACAGGACTAAATCCCAGTGCGATGGTCGCAGCGACGACGTTATAAAAATATGTCGATATTTCAATGACTCGCTGTCGATTCACGGTCTTCTGCTTGGACGTGTCGTTCACCCTCGAGTTTGTCTGTTATGTAATGCCAATAAGCAGTAACATCATCAGTGCGCCGGTAACTGTAGACAAGACAATAGAAAAAAAAGTTGATCATACTAAAAACTCTTCACCATTGCAGAATAAGAAATTAACGTTTAACGTAAGAGGCAAATCTGCTACCACTAATGCGGAACGAGAACGCGAAGGTAACCAGTTCCTGACGATTGCACCAGCTCTGCCAATCCTACCTGGAGCTCCGGTACCACCAAAACTCACTAAAAGGTCTTACAGTACACTCAGGTATTGTTACGTCACGGTTGGCTTTATAATTATCATTATTATATTTATCGTTCTCCCCCAACTGTCTGTAGTTACGACTATTTTTTTAATGATTTTCAAATATCGTCCTCGATTTCAATATTTAAAAAATTCTTTTTTTTTAGCTCAACGAGTGCCAACTTCAACGTCGAAGATGCCGAAGTTGGAGGCTGCGATGCGGTTACCTTGCAACAGGCTGGTGAAGGCAGGGCGGTTGTGGCGACGAGGACGTCGACGGAACGTGAAAAAAATCCTGACAGGATATGCCTGGACAGACGGGGATTGACGACGTTCCCGAACATCATCGGCGAGACCAGGCTGCGTCTCCTCTCATTGCAGCACAATCTCATAGTGAAGATCGAGGGGGAGAATTTTTTACAGCTTACGAAACTCGTTTTTCTCGACCTTTATGATAATCAAATTGAACGGGTCAGCAATCTTGATCATCTTGAGAATCTGCGTGTCCTGCTGATTGGTAAAAATCGTATAAAGAAGATCGAAGGCTTGAAGCAATTGGAAAAATTGGAAGTCTTGGATTTACATGGGAATCAAATCGTTCAGATCTCCGGTCTAGGAGAGCTGACGTCGTTGAAAGTTCTTAATCTTGCTGGAAATAATATTAAGACTATTGGTTGTAATGATTTTCAAGGTCTGACATCCTTGAAGGAATTAAATCTGAGGCGCAACAAAATCAAAAAGTTATTGGGCTTCGGGGAGACGACCCAGCTGCAGAAATTGTACCTGAGTAACAATGACATCCAAAAGTGAGTAAAGTCCACGTGGACGTTATCATATGTTTATCATATATACGTGAACAATCTCATACATCTACGCTGTGATAAATGTCAAAAGCACCATTATCTATTCCGTGAACCAATTTGAAAGTAGGGAAAGCATATGTCGCATTTTGGATAATAATTATCTAATACACAAAAGTCAAGTGTTCGAAGAGGCGTGGGTGTAGGAATGGAGTAAGTGGTTTATGTTTATCTTTAAATTAATTTGACAATTTGTAATTTTAGGATCGAGGATATTGGAAGTTTGGCGAAGGCGTTGCAGCTGCGCGAAGTGACCATAGACGGGAATCCGGTGACCTTGAATGCAGATTGCGTTTCCTTTCTGGTCTCTTATTTACCGAATCTTCAAATTTTATCAACGATGCAAGTGAATGAACAGGTGCGAAGAGCTGCCATGGCTTGGCGAACTACTAAGGAACAATCAAATTCTGCTTTCCTTGACCTCAGTACTCAGGTCTGCGTAAACGTTAGACGCGAGGAGGTAATCTCTAACGCAAAAACGAACTGGGAACTTTTAAGATCGCAGACTAAATGCTTTGCGAGTAACGCTAGTAAAACGAATAATATCAAAAGTGATCACGTGCGTGGTCTGCAGCTCCAGAGTTCGAATAAATTTGATGCAGGCAGAACGAAGGGTCTGGATAAATCAAAATCAAAAGGATTTGGAAGTCTGACTTCTATTAATGAACACGTCGAAGCTAAGAAGATGAGCTTTAAGAAGAGAAGTAATTCGAGTGATAATGTATTCAGGACTGCATGTCCTGATAAAGTGAATGCATTGGATTTCAAATTGCCGCCAATATTAGTTCCTATAATAAACAACCTTACAAGTGGTAAAGTTAATGATAACGGAAGGATAGATAATAAAACCAACCTGACCACCATCGATGGCGTCGAAACAACCACAGACAGTGATCCTGACAGCTCAGAGAGTCATGAGAGTCTTAAGAGCGGTCTTAGGAATCACCTGATGAAACCAAACGGACGAGCCTCGTCGATGGATTTTGATAAGACCAATGGAATTTCAAAGAGATATAATAATGTTCTCAAGGGAAATAGCACTAGGAATCTGGAAAAAGATATACAGAGCCCTGGTGGAAATCTCTTTATAAGGACACCAAAATTCAACAGTCAAGACTCAACAATAAATGGTAATGGTAGACAGAGTCCTGGCAGAAGGTCTTTAGTCAGGAATGCAAGACCATTTTATAGTCATGATAATCAAAGTGATTATACAACAAAACAAATGGTCCATCGACCAAGTCTTTACTCATCAAGTTCAAAAACCAGCAGTGTCGAAAGCTGCAAATCTGTATTGAGCGATTCCAGCAGTTCTTCGGTGCCTAGAATCATCCTGGATAAGTCTTTGGATTTGGATAATGATAAAAGCCGAGTCAAGAGTGCTCAGATAAAGAAGGTTGTTCATTACAAAAGTAACAGAGCTGCTACGGCAAGGGCTAAACATAGAGCAATGCCTTCAGCAAGTCCACCGCCTCAACCAAGTCCACCAAAGGAAAGAGAGCAAGGTAAACAATGACTCTATCTCTTGACTGTATTATATTACATATTAAGTTAAAAAATCATTTAGGTGGAGATTACCTGGTAGAAATTGCTGGAAGGTGTCTCAATGTCTATGGTCAGGCTGCACTGCGATTCATCGATAGACCCTGGGATGTTGCCAAAGCTCACGAGGTCAACATTGTCAAGTTTAATTATGTACAATTCAATGGGATCGCAATGATTCTAAACAGACTCAAAAACAGATTTCCAAATGCGGAACACTTCATCTTCAAGGAGACTAATATCAGTCATCTAGGTCAGATAAATGCTCTTGCCGAAGTACAAGGACTTACCAGTATTCAGATTGATGCTGAAGGCAATCCCATCATCTCTAAAGATTGGAAAGTCTACGCTGTGTTTCGTCTGGCACACTGGGGTCTTAAGGTTATAAACAACAAAGAGGTCAGTAACTTGAATTAATTATGTATTTGCAAAATGTAGATCCCAATTAAATGAAATGATCTAACAGATAACTGATGAAGACATTGAAATAGCCAATCAAGAATATTCAGGTTTGACTGATATTGTTATGTGGTCATTGCCTGAATCATTACTTCAGCCGTTACTTCAGAGGTTGCATCTTGAAAAGGTTCAGAAACAAACTGGAGAACAAATCACTGCCAAACAATTCTTGTTTAAAAGCGATCCTGCGTTGAGAAACGTCGTCGCCAAGGAAGCGCTGCAATGGCGACGAGGCAACGTCACTCAGGTTAGTGAGTTTTATCTAAAATTATGAAATTAATAAATATCTCAAAATTTCAATAATTATATTTGTTACCGTCGCAGGAGGATCTTATCTGGAGACACAAAGGAAAGGTTCATCTGTCAAATTTAATAGACGTCACAGTTGACGCTATTCAAAAATTACAAATTCTTGAGAGGGAATGGCCGAGTATTCTCTTTGAACTTCTTTGCGACACTCTTCTCGACTATTCTGAAATGAATTCTTATATGAAACGTTGCAGCGCAATGCTTGAGAGTGATAAATGAGATGGGAATAGTGAACTAAGAAAAAAAAGAATTAAAAAAATATTGACAATAGCAAAAAAAGAAGTTAGACGCAAAGAGCAACGCTCTTTAAAATCATTAAGAATTTTAGGAATTTCTAGAATTTTCATTTTATTCATGCTATGCCTCTGAGATTTTATTATTAATTTAATTAACAATGTTATCTATTTATAGTAGAGTGCAATCACTTTGAATTTACTTTATTTTCTCCTGCAATCGTCATTAGAAATTAAATCTAACTATATTATTTTTAATTCATATAATGTAATATAAATTCAAGTTTCGTTTATCGTTTCCATCGAACCACTACGACTATTTTTGGTCGCTAATATATTATTGTTACTGTTTTTGTACTAAACGAGTTTATCACCGTGTTAATTGCGCAATAATGAACACCATGGTGTACAAGTGTCTATATAGCGCATTCTCAAATGGCTAATGACAGTTAATTTAATTTTCAATTATTATTGAATAATTGCAATAGTCTTGATCAAGGTAATATTTTATTATTGTGCAATTTGTGATTTTGCCAATAGTGGTCGAGTATTTATAACAATAACCGTTATATTTAGCATTAAAGAGATATTGGGTAAAGAGATCCAGCCTCTGTCTGTATCCAGTCTCTGAAACGAACTGTATGGCATTTCAATCGCCTCTGGAACTTCTATAATGGTTCCAGCATATCTCCTATGCCCACTGTGCTTACTAGTCGTCAGACACAAAATCCATCTCGGACCATCTCATCCAGACTCGGTCCTCTTTACTAATATCTCCTTCATGCATTTAATGCAATAAAAGTTTCTGAGACTTTCTTTCCTTCAACAATGGCAACAACTCCAAGTTTCTAGTCCCAATTTACTGAATTAAGTTTATGATATACCATTGATAAATATTCGTTGATACGAATATTTTAATGCGTGCAAGGTCATGGATTTTATGAAAAATAAAAAGACTCAAAAACATGAAAAACTCGTCTTTTCCAAATAACATACGTAAATCAAAGAGCTTTCAATTAGCTCATTTAATTGTTCTAAATAGAACGTTAGCGAAAATAGCTTGTAGAACTTACCATACTATATACTTATATATATATCCGATTAATAATTTACAAATGAATTCATTAATTCATATTTCTAAAACACACGTGTGCATATCTATCATACATTTGTATTCTTCACACTACTGTAGAAGTCATACAATCTCATTAATGATTGATAGATGAAAATGAGTTATCGAAACAAAAGTATAGTATCAAAGATAATTTTGAAATTACCATTGGTCACTTGATCAATTAATGTAATCCTTTTCACAGAGCGACAATACATAAAGTATTTCACTGTGATAATAAAAACAGTTCATAATATTTAAACTCAATTATATATTTACATAATGAAATTCAGAAAAATTATGTCACTTGGAACCGATAATCGATTCAACGCTAAAGGATATAGAAGGTTTTTTCTCCGAACAAAGATTTCTCTGATTGCTTGAATTCTCTTGGGCTTCAGGAGTAGTAGCGTAAGCGATTTCACCAAAATTCGTACTGCTGGTTGTTCCTGTAGGACATGAGTACCAGGGAATTCTTGTATAGGTAGGATAAAAAGATTGCAGGTCGAACGAGGTGTCTGCAAACGAATGTCTTTTCCGTTGGCGTTCGTTTGACGATAGAGAATCCAAAAAATGTGCAGCAGGGACGACTGAAAATAAATGAGATTTTTTCTTGAAACTGAGCAATCTCTCGAAAACTAATAACAGCTGGCATTGTAAATTAATCGGTGTACAAAATTTATTAAAACTATATATGTATTCAGTTTGGCGCAAGGAACAGCTGTATCCAAGGGTATCGACTTTTACGATTTCCTTTCCCGCAATGGCAGAGAACTCTTTGAAACTGGAGAAAAGTCAGTTGGCTCGAAATAACAGGACGCCGCTTTACAAGGAAAAGTGATACTGTATCATTTCCAAGAATAAGAAAATGTCAGTTGCTGTCCGATTCACAGAGATTCTCCACGTAGATTCGAGAGGGGATAGGAATTGTGTAAACCGTCGTAAAGTTATTTGAGGCTGATTGTGTATCTAATTCGTTGAGAAAGCTCGTAGTGTCGAACAAACAAAATTTTATTGTCCCTCCCCGATGGACGGCTAAACAATCTCGAGTGTTTGTCAGGACGTAAACAATCCCGTGGAGATTTTTATAATTGTTTCCGGCTGTAACGCGGGAAATTTGAAACTATGAAATACCAGACAGTAATTCATCGTTAAGAATATGTAAATACGTTCAGTGCTGACATCTACGATAAATACCTGCAGCGGTTCTTATTCCGTGAACGGAATTGAGACTTTGAAAATTTTGCGTCACGCTTATTCGGGTCTGTGTGAATTGCAGCTGGTGACGTTGTAGATTACGTAATCGTCGCTGATAAGCCAAAGCTGCTCTTTGCTGATTTCCGGAAACTGTTTGATCGACCTCCGCCGATAAACTCCCGCTACCTGTGAATGTCTCGTTCGCGTAATTTCCGTGTGCCTGCTGTTGACGTCTTAAGGCAACCTGGGCTGCCATTACGCGTTGACGTTCTACCACCAGGAGGCAGCATGCGCATCGACAATCCTTCCACGCGCAGGACCTTTTGTGACCCTTTAAACCGGATATTACGCCATGGTTTCGACATCTTGCACATTTTGGACTTCGCAAGCGATGCTCGATTCCTGATGAATGATTTGACTGATCGCCTGGACCACCTTCCATGTTTTGATCGGTTTTCATTGCGTATATTTTACAATGTTTCGATAATTATGATTTAACGGGATCTTCATTGACTGCTTGATAAGAATTGCTGGAAGGATAGTTAAAAATTGCAGATGAAGATATATAATATACCGATTGTACGTATAAAAGATCAGAAAATTTTATTTAACTGAGATAGCCTTTTAATTTCCTTATGGTTCAAGAAGTATCTGGCTGACTTTGTTTTTAACAAAATTATTATAAATTAAAACTTATATATTAAGTATATCGATACGATAGTTAATTTCTCATTATACAATGTTATCATAGTATTTAAGCTTACCATACTGATTGTACAATGGCTGTGCTGTAATCCCGATGGCTTGTGAAAGATTAAATTATTTTTGTAACAGATGCTTAGCATATATTTTTCAAAGTTTAATTCAGTCACTTTCCTTTATAAAAATGGTGTCCAATAATGTTGTTATAAACAAAAAATAAAGTTCTCGTCCAAATGAATCATTCTCGTAGCGAAAAATTATTCCATTGATTCCTTCAAATTTCCGTAACAATGGTACCACGTGTTTTCCGCAAACATATAGAAAAATTCAAACTGATATGAACGTTAAAAAAATAATTTTCTCTCACTTCAAAGTACTTGACATTTCACCAAAGAATATATAAAGTTTAAAACATCTTAAAAAGTGCACTGATTCCAATTTTAAAATCCAGTAAAATTATAACGAAAAAATGCCAAATAAAATTCTCACGAACCAAACCTTACAAATCACAAGCGTCAACTGTTCCGTTATACGCGTAGCGCGACTTGTTATAAGAAAAAGGTTTTTTTTCCCCACAAGAGGAGGTAACGTTCTATCTCCTCCTACAAAATTAAAATATATTTTTAGCCCAGCAAACCAACCGATTGGTTCAAATCCAACCAGAGCCACGCCACGTTAATATAACACAAGCCAATAAGATTTCATTCCCTCATACGTCCCCACATACGTTACAAATTAACATTACAATTTTTCCCGCGTGCCAGAAAAGGAAAGGCATTAAAAACATCCCCCACTTAACCGCCAAAACGAATTGTATAAACGCGTGAAATTCGAATGAACTTCAACAAATTTAATATAAATTTCAGATAAAAGACAAGAGGAAATAATTCGATCTTTCTTATCAGATACTAGACAATCGGTTTACAATGCTGTATTATATGTAACCTATTCTATGTTGTGCGCATGCGCATCTACGTCTAATTTCAAAAGTAGTATAGTGAACGTTCGCCCAAAGGTATTTGACGCCAGCTGCGACCACATGGCATTCTTTCTCTGATCTGACTTTAAGAGCTCGTTAATACGATCCTCTTACATGTTGCCAACACACAGTTAATATTAGTTTAAAGCTTGTTTTTGTAACATATGAGTGCTGGATGGACTTCCTCCCGAGTGAACGAGGTTCCTGTCCTTTGGGACATATACTAACCTTACTATGTACTAAAGATCTTTAAATGCCACCCGGCTAATGTTGTCGTTTATCTGTATGTATATCTAGTCATTATTGTTCCACAGCTAATGTCGTTTTGACGAGTTGCACTTGGAATTTCTTCTTGTACGTTTCACTTAAAAAAATACTTGCGACAATGAGCACTACAGGAGCTGAAAGTGGTAACGTTACACCAGGCCAATCTACCTGAACATAGGTTCAGTAAACTTTGAGGTTATCCATAGCACTCCATGGAGCTAATCTATTAAGGTACTATTTCTTTTAAATTAAATACCCTTGGTGCATATTGAATTTTTTTAATTGCAGTACCCGGCAAATTTATGAATGATCGTAGCAGTCATCATAAGATGTTGGGGTTCATTCATTTTGACACGATATATTTTTCTATGATTTTGGGTACATTTTTTTTATTAATTTTTTTTATTAATTAGATAAGCTCGTGGACATCTAGCGAATGATCTTAGGAGTCATTATAGATCTCCAGAATGAATCCGTAAGGTAATCATGACTTTTGTAATAAAATATATGTAATATATTTCATATTGAATTTTTAAAAAAATTGTAATACGAACTTTTAAATTGTGCATATGATATGGTGTCGAGTATTACTACTCGTATTTTCTGTTTGACTTATAGACAAGGGTGGGTCACGTGGGGGTGGGTCGACCCTCGTTGGCAGGTTAGCGGAAAATAAATAATAATTTATGACATCTCTTTTTTCCAGACATTTAGCCACGCAACTATCGTCGGACGACACATTGTCACACGTGCTTACATTAGGCATGGGTTGGGACGGTTTTCAAGAAGCTGCAGGGGTCAAAGTTGAAAGAGATACGGTGGTGTTTTAAATATATCGTAAGGCATGCGTGAGACGCGTTGTGGAATTCGTCTTAATGAGCGTAGAATGACGCGGTGTCACTTGGACATTTTTTGAATATTTTTTGCCTACATTTTTTTCTTCTTTCACTCTTTTTCAAAACTCCTCGACAGTCGACACCCTCGTGTTCTCTTGTCACGGCAAATATGTTGACAGGGTATTCAGCATCTTGCGAGATGTCAAAAAGCGTGACTAAAACGATGTTACACCTTTTCCGCGCAATGCTATTGCGGCTTTAACTGCGTTTTTTTTCTCGATTTTTCATCTTGTTTTCTTTTCTATTCTTGTCGTTGAAAAAATACTGTGACTCTATGGTTGGACCTTGAAATTTTCTTTGAAGATTTTCTGCCCATGGATACTTCCGTATTTAAAATTCTTTGAGGCGGGCTGCAGAAATTTGTATTGATAAATCGTTATCTTTTTATGAAATTAAAGATTTTTTTTTACAAATTTCATATTCATACCGTACGACAATTTCAGATCGATTGTCTCGATTGACGTTCTGCTGTCAGTTATGAAAAATTTTGGCAATCATTTTTGAAATATATTTAGCACGTAATTTTTTGTTAAAATTAACCTCCATTTTGGACTCACGAGTGTTCGTGGACTTTATGTATTTTTATTTGTATTATTTATTTAAAGTTCGATTGATAAATCATTCATCACTATCGTCACTGATACTAACCTCGGTATACGTTGATAGGTTATGGTCTTTGCCATGCCACACTGTACGAGTAATTTCGCATGGTATCTTGGAAAGTTTGTTTTAGGATTCGCCGGAATTCTTTTTCTTTATCTTGGTTTTGTAAACGAGAAGTAAATTTTTAAAATACCCACCGCTTCACCAATGTACGTAATGATTGCTGTATAAAACTGTTTTATTAACCTCAGAGACGTTACGTGCATCTGTAAAGCAAGAGGCCGAGAAGCAGCGCGAAACAATGGCGCTGGGTAAGTAGCATCGATTGTGAATAAACAAAAATATATTTAAACAAAAATAAATAAAAAATGTACAATCTAATCAGAAACATTAACAATTTCCAAACAGAGATCCACATCGATGTCTATGCAGAAAGGGGTGAGTAATAAGTAACAATGAAATTTATAAAGTAATAAATAATAATGAAATTTATCAATTACAGATTTCGTACGACCAAAACTTATGCTTGCGGCTGTACAAGGCGACTTCTGTGAGTGATTTTAGAGTGACAAAAAATTCATAAAGAATTAGTTCTTAAAATTATGAATTTTTCAAGCAGTTCCAAGTCTGACGTCAGATGCACTGAGAAATTCAAACCGGAATCTACTGCAGAAGACGGATGCTGTTGTACCAGAAGAAGAGCTTAAAATTATTATGAAAACCAAACCGTTATCATCCCAAAGAAAAACGGTCCACCTTCTATAAACGATGAAAAAAGAATAAAAGAATATATTCGAAAAAATCTAAAATAGCGTGGTAAAAAAAAAGAAGAAACGTAAAGACTTCAAAAGTTCATCAAAGAAAATTCGCACCTGTCGTCCATAAGATTTTTCACGTGACTCAAGATCCGTAAAAACAAAAGTGCCTTAGTGACGATAAAAAAGAAACGTCTTGTTTCAAATCACGTAAGGTCGTCTACAAAGGATTCGAAATAACGAAAACCGTTACAAGAGAAAAGAAAACGCAGACGAAAGCCGTCGGTCTTTACGTAGAAAACTCGTTATTAAACAGTCGTTAGTATCTCACATACGTTTCAGCCGGCAGTTTATTCGTAGCGGTACGAATAAAAGAAAACGTCGAAGTCAACGAAGAAGCAGAACGCCGTAAAAATTCAAAAGTCAATTAATACGCGTCTTGTTACCGCTTGACGCGTCTATAACTGGAATCACGTTGGAAACAACATCACTCATATTCATACGTTATTCTGTCTCAACTCTTCGAAGATGGCTAGTCGGCTATATGCTCCTCCTTTTTGCTAACGAGACGACCGCGGCTACTATAATAGTATACACCGAACTGCCAAGTCGCATTGAAAGAGACAGATTATTTATTTCCTTGACGGTTTCGGATCGTCGCGAAGCAAGATGGCGACCAACGGTCACTGGCAGACGAAGCCGTACACGATGTGAAAAATAAGTAGAGATAAAAATTAACACGTAAGAAAATTTCCATTGAATTTCACATCGCAAGTAATATCAATTAATTAATACATCAACATGAACATTTCGAGTAACAAGAAATATGGCAAAAGCACTCGGACTGTTTGAATGCCCAGCATCGTGCTTTTAGGTTAATTTCTTTTTCTTTTGATAATTACACAACGAGTAAACTCGTTCCTTTATTTTCTTTCATATCTGCCGGTTAAAATCTCTCAATGGCGAGCCTTGTTGAGGTAAACACTGCAGCTGCATCACATTGCCTTTTGCATCTTCTTCGTCCCAAAGATTTTGCTCGCATTCCACGATATGCAAAGCGACACGCGCCGTTACTCACAGCCACGGAGTCGGCAATCCGCGCGTCAACGATGTGGATGAATATTTCGAAATGAGTACGAAGATGCTAAACGAGGGAACTGTCAGACTGTCACTTTGGCACAGGAGTGACAAGCGCCCAGTTTCTCAACGTTTGCGAGTCCCTCGAGAGATGAAAACGCGCTCCAATCTATTTTCACGGCTACAATTATTTCTCCTTCAGAAACGCATTTGAGTATCGGGCACAATTTCTCCATGAAACAAAGTAACAGACGTGAGCCGCGACATTCATTAAGTTCTATAATACAAAATTAGACTTACTGTTAAATAATTTCTAATTATAATACAACAAAGTCAAAAATGAATAACAGCTCGAACTGTCAACTTAAAAAATACTTATTAATAATCCTCAAGATCTGTGATCAGTGTATTCTAACCAAAAACATTCGTTTATTCGCACTGTTATACTAGACTTAAATGTAAAAAGCATTAAAAACTATGTAAAATTAAAATCCATATTTATACTGACTAATTGTAAATAATTTAAATGATAAGTACATTTAAAGCTATCTCGAGCACAAGAATTTATCTGAAGCTTAGAAGATAATGAGACCAAAGAAATAAAATCAAGTTTAATTATTTCAACGTTGCATTTATTTTTTTTTTTTTTTTTTTTTTTTTTTTTTTTTTTTTTTTTTTTTTTTTTTTTTTTTTTTTTTTTTTTTACAATTACAAAGCATCAAACTTTGTAAATCCTCCTTTTAGTCTTCAACCGACACTCGAGCCTCCTTGGTTCCTTATGAGAAATAACCGTGCGCGGTGTCGCCCAGTTTTCCACAGCATCTTCGCAGCATCCAATCTTGAGCTCATCTCAATGTCCAATAGTTGTCTCCTCATCCGGTTTCCAATCTATCAAAGAAATACGGTTATCGAAAAGCCATAAGAAAAATGATGCCCACGTGTAAATATGGGCAATTAATTATTTACATAATATATATATATATATATATCATTTAATTCTCCAATAATAAATATATAATTGACAAAAAGTGTCGGACGTGGGACTGTATAATCGAATGAACGTACAGAGGAAACCATATGAAAAAAAGAATACATATGACAAACAACCGTGTACATCGGATACATCAAAATGGACAATAACTGACAGTAATCATTAAAAAAAAATATGCATTCGGCCAAAAAATTGAATTTTTTTCAAAATCACAGACTCAGAAGGGAGAACCCCATCAGCTGTTTCCGTTGAACAATAAAAAAATAAAAAAAAAATAAAAAACTCATTAATCCCTGTCAAGCCAAAAGAGCAAAACACTGTAGGACGCGAATGTCATTTTCTCGACACAACAATGTCACAATGACGAAATAAGCACAACAAGGGAAAACGTTAATTTCTCAGCGTCGGGCAATAATATCAAATTTTTCCATATCGTGCAAATTCGCGAGTGACGCGTTTCCGGCGTATCGCTATTGAAGTAGAACAAAACGAAAAGTATAAAAAACTAAACAGAAGAGCGCAATTTGAGCAAAATAAAGAATTCCTGCGAATACCATTTATCGGCACGATTACAAAGACCTCGAGCCAAAAGATAAGCAGACGACGTTCGTCGTGCAAGTAGCGCGTGATGACTATACTTTATATTTTTTCTTTCTTTTTTCTTTTCTTCAACATAAACGCAGAGAGCGACATTCGTTATCTTTTTCCTTTATCTTTCAAAGAGAATCAACTCGATAACGCGATTACCGTTCGATCCACAAAACATGGCTGTTTTGTAACGTCTATACACCACTGTATATGCATTTATATAAGTATACCACGTAAAAAGGTGTATATATAAATATATATATATATAATCTATAACCGACAGGCGAACACCTTGCGTCATAACACCTAATTAATAAGGATATTTTTAATTAACAGTTAAAAGTAAAGAGGGCGCACGCGTCATAATGTAACATACCTTTACCTGCGTTAATTCAAAGCACGTGTGCGTGTGTGTCGGCCTCGGTACGCAATACGCTTTTTTGTTTTCTCGTTATCATTCAGTGCGGCCAAAACAACGCTTATTTTTTTTTTTCGTTTTTTTTTTTTCGTTAATCCGCTCTTTTACTCGTAGGATGAATAAGCTTTCGTCGGACTCGCATCTACGGGTGTACAGGTAAAGCTCGTAATTGACGTCTGGCCTTTTTTAATCCTTTTCCAGAACACGAAACAAGCTGTCGGCCGCCAAGTTGAAGGTAAAATTCGTGAACCCTCGAGAGAGACCACCACGGTGCGTTACTGTGCCCGTTTCGTACGCACTAGGTCGACAGTCGACACGCGAGGAGCCGCACGCATTTTTTTTGGTTTTTTTGAACACTCGATGGTGAGCAGTCTTAGAGAAGACTCCGAAGGGACGTCGGCATGAACGTCCCCTGCGCCGTCCTAACGATCGCTGATCAGTCGTACCAGTTGAATCAGTAGATATTCGCCGCTTGAGAATTTTTTGCTTTTTCCTTTCGTCTCTTAGGGCTCGCCGAAGAGGAGGAGGAGGAGTCTACGAACGCTTCCTGGATCCATAGAATTTCGGAGACGATCAGGCTGACCCTGTTTTTTTTTTTTTGACACTTTCAAGCCACTGGTACAATGGACACTTCCGGTTTGGGCGTCCGTCGTCGCTTCTGGCGCACGCAAAATTTCGCCGAGCTATGCGCGTATCTTTTTTCTTCGGAAAAAAAAGAGAAAAAAATTTTTCGTTCTTTTTTTTGAGACAATTTTTTTTTCTTACGTAACTTCCTCTCGCTGTCTGCATCTTCTGCTGGTATCGCTCGTGTGTTCCTGTTATCGCTTCCGTATTGCCGCGACGGATGGGAAAAAAAAAAAAGGTAATCGCTACGGAACGTCCGCACACACGTAGATAAATACACGCTCTCTCACACGTGTAGTCCCGTGTGTGTATGCCCTGGATTGGTCATGTGTGTATGTGAACTCTGCATGCGACACGGTCGAATATCGGATTCCCTCTTGAATTCCGCATGGCGAGAAGCTAGAGTTTGCCAAAAAAAAAAGAAAAAAAAAGAAAAAAAGAAAAGGAGGGAAAAAAAGAAGGAAGAGGAAATTTGTAATTGGAAAAATTGACTAAATAAAATAAAAAAGAAGATTAAGGATACTCGAAGTAAGAGGGTGACGTAACAAACGCACGTGTTGAAGTCGAGCTACGATATCAACGTCAAATTCGAGGGGACTCCTCGACGTTGTAATACGTAAGAGTATGGCCCCTCGAAAAATGCACAATGATCTCGTGGCGCGGCTAATGAAGCAGAGAGAGAAGAAGAGATGAGAAAGATAAATAATAATGACAATAAAAACAGTAAAAAGTAACAAACGCCAGAAAATGTACTTTCGCGTTGCTCGCAAATGAAGAGAACGATTTTTTTCAAAAAATTACTATCTTTTCCCCGTAAAACATACGTAAAGCGGAACGTCATTGGATGATCCTATGGATCGCTTGATGATCATATAGATCCTATGGATCATCTAATGGTTATCTCCTGTTGCGACAACACGAAGTTTCATATTTGCGAGCGTTGCGCCTCGCGACAATCGAGGTATATGCGGCGATTGTGCTGAACTCGTGAATAAAAAAAATAAAAATAAAAAAAAATAAAATAAAAAAAGCACAGCCACTCATTTAGCGAGAGAATGAATAAAAAATTTCGCTGTGCGAAATATGATGGATATATATAGATATATAGATTCGAAATATTATTATACGTCTATATATCCATATACACGCTGATCGCCTCGTTTTATTCAATAATTCTCCATCAAGGTACATTCGAGACAATTTCCTCTAAGCACGTTTCTTCCGCTTTATTAATGAACATTTTTTTTCCAACATCTTGAGGTTCTTACATATAAAAAAAAAAAAGAAAGAAAGATGAATCATACAGCATATCGTTTATAGCCTATGTTGTCACTGACCGTTTTTATATATTTTTTTCTTTTTTTCCTTATTTTTCAATCCAAACTTTTCTATATATTTTCGCACAACTACACTACAGGATGGATAATAATTGAAGTTCGTCTAATCTACATTGGTTATCAACGTTGAGAGTTAAGCGCTAACGCGAGAATGTTTAGCCTAGGACTTTCACTTCTTTTTTTTTTGGCTACGCTTACAAGAGACAAAAAAAGAGATAACGAGTAAAAAAAAAACTGAAAAAATAAACCCCTTCGAAGGTAGTGCCAACGAGAGTCAAAGATTAACAAAATCAACGATATAAAAGAGACTCGTCCATTTTCACATTGCAATTCGCGAATTCCTTTTTTCTTCTCTTCTAAAACGCGTCAAAGCGTTCGACGTTTCCTTGCTGGACAATTTTTTAGCTCCAAATGTTCTCAAACGAATTGTTATCTGAATTTGAATCTGAAACTGACTCTAATCCACGGGTCTGTCTGTCTCGGTATTATTTATCCTTTCCCCTCCTCCTTAAACGTACCTTAATTTATCCTTAAACGTTACTGGATTAATATATAAATTATACACGGTTGTTGTTTTTCTTTTTATTATTTCCTTTGTTATACGCTGCGAACGGACGTCCGTTCTTATGACGTAGGTTTCGTGGCTCGTGTTCGTAAAGGGACGAGATGAAAGTGCGCACTGGCGTACTGCGCAACTGCGGTACCCTGAGCTTCTATAAGCCACCGCAAGGCGCGTTCAAGTATACGTAGCCCTTTTCGGTTTTCAGCGCGTCGCGCGTCCTATAAATTTGCTTTAGTACTCTGTTTTTTTTTGCTTTTTTTTTTCGTTCTAGTACCTCGGTGGCATCGCGTCTGCCGGACCTGGGAAGCTAAAAGGGTCAAAAAATGAAAAAATCGCAATATTAATTTTGTTTTTGTCTTGGATTCTCGACGGACATTCGTACATCGAAATGCGAACGAACTCAAAGTATAAGATGTAACACTGTCGTTTCTCTGCAGTACAATAATTTGCGATACGCATGCGCGGTACAGCACGCTCGATTAAAGCCGTTAAAAAAAAAAAAAAAAAAAAAAAAAAAAAAAAAAAAAAAAAAAAAAAAAAAAAAAAAAAAAAAAAAAAAAAAAAAAAAAAAAAAAAAAAAAAAAAAAAAAAAAAAAAAAAAAAAAAAAAAAAAAAAAAAAAAAAAAAAGAAAAAATATATATACATACATACACGCAATTTTAGTTCAAACTTCGATTTACACGTTGACCAACGAACCAAAATACTTTTCATCGTATTCCTATATTTTCATTTGATAATGCTGATTTTTCGCCTTCCAATTTTTTTTGTCTTCTCTTCATACGTCATACGAAGCATTTTTTGTTTCAAATTTAAAAAATTTTTTTCAACACGTGTCAATCGAACGAAAGAAAAAATTCTTGCGTGTACAGTCAACGTCGTGTATGTCGCATCGATCATTTACAACTTGAACGTCAGCGCATTCGCGTCAGAACATCGAGAAAAGACGCCGCAGAGACTACAGGCTTTTTCATAGTTAAGTTACGCACTCGCACGCTTTTCCAAACCGTGTGGAAATTTCGGTATGGAAACAAGAATTCGGGCGCATGGTGAATAAATGCCATCTTGTATCCCGCAGTGTTTCTGCATGTACGATACCATTTAACATAGTAAGAAAAGTATCGTTCGACGATACTCGAAATTCATTTTTTTTTCCAGCGCGACATCGCGAAATTTCGTACGTCGTATGACTGTGCGTGACGCCAATTTTTTTTTTCTGTGGCGGAAGAATTTTGCAATTCCGACGTACGCGACTTTGGTTCGCATCGAAATTTACGCTTTTTCTTTTTTTTACTGTACTCGGCTGCGCCTGTGTCCTTCTCGTGCGTTAATAAATTCGCAATATACAAACGCCAAATCTCAATCAGTTGTTACACCTTATACTTTTCGATATACATATAATAATTATCGCCGATTTCATGCCACAATGCATCAAATGTACTTTTGCACGTATCTTTGTTGTGGTTGAGCAAACGACGTCAACTAAAATCGAATAACAGAACGCAATGAGAACGTGAAATTGCAAAGTTAACGATTAGCTAATTTTCGTCAATTTCGCTATCGCTTATTGCAAACTTGTCATAATGTTCGAAAGGGCCGCGAGGATCGGCGTTATGGATAATGTTTATTAATAAAATGCAACTTACCGTCCGCCACCACGTGGGGGACCATATGCATCTGGTCTGTCATAACCCTCGGTATAACTGTAAAATAAAATTTAATTAACATTAAGAATCACGTAGAGTCAATTGAATGCTAGAAATAATTAAACTATCGGATATCGATTGTAAATGGAAAAATATTTCTTAAAACAGCACTTTTTTCACTTAAAAATAAATTTTCAACGTTTAATCGTGACAAAAACCGATCCAATGTAATTCAAAAAGTCATGAAACTTACCCTCCTACAGGTGGATATCCGCCGCTGGGTACGGTGTTTCCGGGTCTTCTACTAAACATATCTGTCTGGGGTCCTGGACCAGTACTGTAGCTGGGTCCGCCAGGACCAGTGCTGTAACTGGGTCCACCGCTGATGGGCCTGTTAAACGTAGTGATATCATTAACGAGAGAAGCGCCATCCCTCCTCTCGTAAGACATCGTGGGACCACTCTGACTAACACCTACAGGGCCCCCCGCAAGACCGATATCCCCAGGCGCGCTCGGGTAACCCCTGTCATACACCATTACAATAATTTATAAAAATTGTCTAACGTCGTTCACAGCCAATTGTGCAAGACATCTATTACAGTGGTTTTACTTAATCATTAATAAAACAACTATTCGTAAATTAAAGCAGCAATATCGATGCAATCCTGATAAAGTGAACTATGAACTCTACGATCTCTTTTGAAAACCCACTAAAAAAACTGATAAAACTTACCCAACGTCACCGTATCCAGTAGCGTAGCCTCCAGTAGCTACTCCGCCACCGCCATTTCTCATTGGTCCAGCTGCACCCCGATCATAATCATTTCTTGGCGCATAATCGACTGCGCGGCCGCCACCGAAATTATCGGTGCGGCCATAATCCACAGGACCTGTTGGATCGCAACCAAAACCTACCAATTTATAAGCAATCGATTGTTCTCTTTCTTAATAGTAAAACTAGGTAACAACAAAGTACCTCCACGATTACCGAAATCTGTGCGCGCTCCAAAATCAGCACCGCGTGCGTAGTCCGTGGAGCGTCCATAGTCTGCTGTTCCAGTTGGTCCGTAACCACCGACGGCCCCACCAGCAGGTCCATATCCGCCTCCCATTCCTGGTGCAGTTGATGTGTAACCGCCCATTGTAGCTCCGCCTACGTTCTGACCGTAAGCACCGCGATCGTTGTATCCACCGCCAAATTCTCCTCCGCGACCACTAAAGTCCCCACCGCCACGATTTCCATAATCAGTATAGCCACCGGCAACTCCACCTGTAGCAGATCCGTCGTAACCAACGATTTGGATGGGTAGAACTGTAAAGCATTTCCAAATGACGAATTCATTTTTAGGCGTTGACAATGTTTCTATTGTTACTTCATGGATAATCGCAAGCATTTACTGTTTCACTTTTTTTTACATTCAGTAGCGATGCAGGTATCGATTGGATTAAGAATTACTTTTGTACAATTCATCTCGATAAGAGAATGCTTGCGGTAGTTGTCAATAAGCAATTTTTGAAAGAGGTTTGACAAACCTCTTCGGTCGTTGTACGGACCAGGACGACCGTCACGACCTCCATCTCGACCACCTCTGCCGCCTCTCATTGGTCCACCACGTCGATCTCCATCACGGCGACCACCTCCGGCACCGCCGCGTGATTTCCCGGTTGACTGTTCGACGTTTATTGTGGCGCCCTTGAAGTTTGAATTGTGTAGCGCCTTTATGGCTGCTGCTGCATCTTCTTCGCGTGCCATGTGCACGAAGCCATATCGATTCATCACGTCGCATTCGGTGACTTCGCCAAAGCGAAGGAATAACTGGCGTAATTCATCGTTGCGACAATTCTCCGGTAAACGACCGACGAAGATTTTAGTCTTCCTCTGAAAATATAAAGAAATTCAGTAACGATGTTTGGTAATGCTTGATCGAAACATTTGTACAGATGAAATTTTGTAGCTGCGCAATGTAATTTTGGTAACTAAGAAATACCACAATCGTTGCTCTTAACAAGTTTGATTGAATTGGGAATAAACATTATTTGTATCTCTGAAATCGACCGTGCATATGAAAAGACATGAACGGTGTCTGTTCGAGGATATTTACTCTTGCTCGATATCAGTTCTAAAACTGTTATTTGTAATATACGTCAAATCATAAAAGGATAAGACGCTAAATGCATCGAGCATCAAAGTACTATAGTACTCTACATTGTTTATACTTTAACAAGTAGTTAGTACACTCACCGGCGTATTGGAGGACACCATTATCTGAAAAAGATAACGTCAACTTTACAAATTTATATCTTAATAAAATTACTTCAAAGACTTTAACGGTTAAACCTAACATTGCTTATTTTTTAAAACAGTATTAATTTCTTTTTACATATGTAGGAACAACTAGTCAAGTTCAACAGAATTAATAATGCGCAATATCCTTGATTCATAAATATTTATACTCAGAAAATCACGAAATCGCTTATACATGAACTTTGATACTATACTAATGGAATATTATTGTGTTACATAACAGCCAGTTTCTAATTTACCATTTTAATTATCAGTTAATTCGTTATTGAATCAACGTTTACAGATCATGAAACTGAAAAAATCAATTAATAAAGACTACTGGAAATGACGTGTCGTTATCTTGTTTGTCTCTATTCGCAGTAACGGAAATCAGAGTTTAGAAACTTGATTGGTCTGAACGACGCGACGCTTGGCGCACCGACGCGGCCATGAAAGCCTTGAGAAAGTAACAACGCCGGCAGTTATTGAATTCACATATAAATATCAGATCTGTATCTTTTTTGATTGATATTATAACATCAAAATTTAGTATTATTGATTATTTTCAATTTAATTGACATTTAAATACGTTTAAAAGATCCAATTGGTTAATTGCGTGTCTTATCCCGCCCAAAACCAACCGGTTGGCGTACCTAAACGGGTCAGACGGTATGGCTATTTATTAATAACCCCACAAACATCTCGTTCAACCGCTAAGGATTCGGAGTAATAATGTTCATCGCCAATTTTTAATGCAGCGGATACTTACATTTACGTGCGACGTTTCGACGAAATAAAATGAAAATAAAAACGAAGTACACTCGCGTCAAGCGCTGATCTGTGAAACGAAGGACGAAATGGCGTCAGTCGACTGCTGACAGAAAGAACAATCTAGGAACTGATGCAGGAAGGAATTGACTAGTGGCGCAATCTACGATATTGTAACGAATAGATGAACGCCAACGTTCGCGGTTCTGATTCGTCAGCATTATTGTTTCCTTGCTTCCGCTTATCAAAAAATTTACGGCAATTGTTAATATTTATACGATTATACTCTAATAACATTGCTATGGAAAATATCTATTTGATATACGGTTATGTATTTTTTATTTAAAAACAAATAGTGATAAATATATTGAAAAGTTTGTATTTTGACTAGGATTTTGAAAAACATGGATTACGTATTGCGGCGCCATTAAAAGTTCATGGAAAGTTTTTGGCGTCGTTCATTCGGCAAGAAGCTTTGTGCAGTGGTGTTTCGTGTTTAAACTTATTTACTTTGTGTATTTTTCTTTAAAATATGTTAATTATTAGTTTAATTGTTAATAGTGCCATTGACGATCAAGAGAAAACTGGAAGTTTTGCAAATTGAGATTATTTTCATTGAATACTTACACGTTTCGTTTATTTTTATTTACAGCTGAGGAAGCTCACAAGAGAAGGCATGGCAATCGGATTTTTGTAATTTTTCATACTTATGGTACATGAAGCTGAGGACTCGAATAGTAATTTCCCAAAACAGTTCGATGCCATATTCAGAAATTCTCGAGAAAATCGGGTGTGAAGTTTTGCGAGCGCATTATGTCCACTGAACGTATTACAGTATTCGAGCAAACCGCGTACCACACTCGGTGGCGTTCAATTTTGAGTATTGCATTAATGGATATAAAATGGTATACTGAATATTGCGTACAAGGAAATGAAATGATATTTTGAATATTGCATTCAAGAATATAAAATGGTTTACTGAATATTGCATTTAAGGATATTAAATGATATTTTGAGTATTGCATTCATGGATATGAAATAATATATTGAATATTGTGTACAAGGATATGAAATAATATTTTGAGTATTGCATTTAAGGATATGAAATAATATTTTGAGTATTGCATTTAAGGATATGAAATAATATTTTGAGTATTGCATTTAAGGATATGAAATAATATTTTGAGTATTGCATTTAAGGATATGAAATAATATTTTGAGTATTGCATTTAAGGATATGAAATAATATTTTGAGTATTGCATTTAAGGATATGAAATAATATTTTGAGTATTGCATTTAAGGATATGAAATAATATTTTGAGTATTGCATTTAAGGATATGAAATAATATTTTGAGTATTGCATTTAAGGATATGAAATAATATTTTGAGTATTGCATTTAAGGATATGAAATAATATTTTGAGTATTGCATTTAAGGATATGAAATAATATTTTGAGTATTGCATTTAAGGATATGAAATAATATTTTGAGTATTGCATTTAAGGATATGAAATAATATTTTGAGTATTGCATTTAAGGATATGAAATAATATATTGAATATTGTGTACAAGGATATGAAATAATATTTTGAATATTGCATTTAAGGATATTAAATGATATTTTGAGTATTGCATTCATGGATATGAAATAATATAATGAATATTGCATTCATGGATATGAAACGATATTTTTAATATTGCATTCAAGAATATAAAATGGTTTACTGAATATTGCATTTAAGGATATGAAATAGTATTTTGAATATTGCATTCAAGAATATAAAATGGTTTACTGAATATTGCATTTAAGGATATGAAATAGTATTTTGAATATTGCATTCAAGAATATAAAATGGTTTACTGAATATTGCATTTAAGGATATGAAATAGTATTTTGAATATTGCATTCAAGAATATAAAATGGTTTACTGAATATTGCATTTAAGGATATGAAATAGTATTTTGAATATTGCATTCAAGAATATAAAATGGTTTACTGAATATTGCATTTAAGGATATGAAATAGTATTTTGAATATTGCATTCAAGAATATAAAATGGTTTACTGAATATTGCATTTAAGGATATGAAATAGTATTTTGAATATTGCATTCAAGAATATAAAATGGTTTACTGAATATTGCATTTAAGGATATGAAATAGTATTTTGAATATTGCATTCAAGAATATAAAATGGTTTACTGAATATTGCATTTAAGGATATGAAATAGTATTTTGAATATTGCATTCAAGAATATAAAATGGTTTACTGAATATTGCATTTAAGGATATGAAATAGTATTTTGAATATTGCATTCAAGAATATAAAATGGTTTACTGAATATTGCATTTAAGGATATGAAATAGTATTTTGAATATTGCATTCAAGAATATAAAATGGTTTACTGAATATTGCATTTAAGGATATGAAATAGTATTTTGAATATTGCATTCAAGAATATAAAATGGTTTACTGAATATTGCATTTAAGGATATGAAATAGTATTTTGAATATTGCATTCAAGAATATAAAATGGTTTACTGAATATTGCATTTAAGGATATGAAATAGTATTTTGAATATTGCATTCATGGATATGAAATAATATATTGAATATTGTGTACAAGGATATGAAATAATATTTTAAATATTGTGTACAGGGATATGAAATAATATTTTGAGTATTGCATTTAAGGATATGAAATAATATATTGAATATTGCATACAAGAATATGAAACGATATTTTGAATATTGCATTCAAGAATATAAAATGGTTTACTGAATATTGTGTACAAGAATATGAAATGATATTTTGAATATTGTGTACAGGGATATGAAATAATATTTTGAGTATTGCATTTAAGGATATGAAATAATATATTGAATATTGCATACAAGAATATGAAACGATATTTTGAATATTGCATTCAAGAATATAAAATGGTTTACTGAATATTGTGTACAAGAATATGAAATGATATTTTGAATATTGTGTACAGGGATATGAAATAATATTTTGAGTATTGCATTTAAGGATATGAAATAATATATTGAATATTGCATACAAGAATATGAAACGATATTTTGAATATTGCATTCAAGAATATAAAATGGTTTACTGAATATTGTGTACAAGAATATGAAATGATATTTTGAATATTGTGTACAGGGATATGAAATAATATTTTGAGTATTGCATTTAAGGATATGAAATAATATATTGAATATTGCATACAAGAATATGAAACGATATTTTGAATATTGCATTCAAGAATATAAAATGGTTTACTGAATATTGTGTACAAGAATATGAAATGATATTTTGAATATTGTGTACAGGGATATGAAATAATATTTTGAGTATTGCATTTAAGGATATGAAATAATATATTGAATATTGCATACAAGAATATGAAACGATATTTTGAATATTGCATTCAAGAATATAAAATGGTTTACTGAATATTGTGTACAAGAATATGAAATGATATTTTGAATATTGTGTACAGGGATATGAAATAATATTTTGAGTATTGCATTTAAGGATATGAAATAATATATTGAATATTGCATACAAGAATATGAAACGATATTTTGAATATTGCATTCAAGAATATAAAATGGTTTACTGAATATTGTGTACAAGAATATGAAATAATATTTTGAATATTGCATTCATGGATATTAAATGATTTTTTAAGTATTGCATTCATGGATATGAAATGGTACATTGAATATTGGATATGAAATGATATTTTGAATATTGCATTCAAGAATATAAAATGGTTTACTGAATATTGTGTACAAGAATATGAAATAATATTTTGAATATTGCATTCATGGATATTAAATGATTTTTTAAGTATTGCATTCATGGATATGAAATGGTACATTGAATATTGGATATGAAATGATATTTTGAATATTGCATTCAAGAATATAAAATGGTTTACTGAATATTGCATACAAGGACATGAAATAATATTTTGAATATTGCACTTATGAATAAAGGTTATACTAACTATTGCATAGAAAGATATGAAACGGTATAGTGAATGTTGCATAAAGGATATTAGATAAGAAAAATGAAATGAAAGTCTCAAAATTGTGTTTTATGTACTTAATCTGTTTTAACTAATGTTAAATTTTAATATTAAGTTATCTAATAACCAATAAATACGTTTCATCATTACATTCAAGCTATTAACTATTGCTATTATTAGATAGTATCTTTTTTTTGTAATGTACAATATTTTAATTAATAAATTCTATGTACTTTATTAAAATAAAATCTGTGAGTTTTTGTTAAATGAAACCCATACATAATTTAGAATTACGTAGTCATATCACCAAAATTGAAACTAATGTATGACCCAAATCATTGCCTAACAAACTCTGCGACCGTTAAGAAGTCAATTTACGCTAATAATCAGACTGTTATGAATTATCGAAAATTCAGTGAGGAAATTTCGCTAAACCGTCTACGCTGGTCAGAGATCAGTAGGGAGAAAAACATGGTGCTAAATCGTAGCGGCGAGTCCGAGAATAGAAATTTGTGATCATTGCCTACGTCGATAATGCATATCCCGTCGTAGCCGAGCTGAACGTGATCACGAACGGGTAGCCTGGTGGGCAGAGATTCTCCACAACTTACAACTGATTCCCAGAGCAACCCTTAGAAAGAGGCCGCTTATCAGATATTGCCTAAATCTTTTTTTTTGTAATCTTAAATTCAAATGTACAGTGTAAACTCGATAAGATTTACTAAGACAAAAGCCAGCACCTTATGTCTGCCTGTGTTAAGGAGTGCAGCGATGTGGTGCTAGCTTCCATCATTATTTAACAATAGTTCCAAGCGGAACTATGGTCCCAACATTTAGTACTAGAGAGAATTATTTCGGAACTGTTTGAAACACAACCTGAAAACAACACTGAAAGCCAGCTCCTTATGCCTACCTGCACTGAAGCATATGGTGCGACTAGTATCCTTAATAGGTATTTTAACGATGTTACGTAGCAGAACTGTTGTTAAAACCTATCTGGAACTATAGAACTCCTCGAGAACTATTGAAAAAGCCTATTGTTGAATCATTTTCAAGAGTTTGTAAAAAAGTGCAGTGCTGGAGCTGACACCCATGTAGCACCTCAATTTTTGGAAAATTCCTATTTTAACGATGTTACGTAGCAGAACTATTGTTAAAACCTATCAGGAACTATAGAAATTCTAGTTAACCCATTTACGCCCAAACTGGCATGAAAGTTTTTCATTTTTCAATAGGAATACTTTTAAGGTAAAAGTTATTCAATCTTGATGAATCTACATGTCTTTATGTATTATTGTCTGCTCTTTCTGAATCTGACCTCAGATTGACGATATTTGCCGCCATTTTTAAAATACGGCAGTTTAAATCTGAAAAAAGCAAAAAATTTCATTTTTTTTTTCAAATAATCATGAATCTGAAATAGATTCCGTTATCGGAGGGTGACAAAACTCTGGATCGGTAGAATACGACCTTGTACTAAAAGATAGGATTATTAATTTATTGAAATTCAAAATGGCGGTCATTGAAACAGCTGTTTTTATACATGAATTTAATGAAAAGCTTTGCAATTTTTTTTCTCGGTAAGTATTATCTTTACGAAAAAATTGTATGGATTAAAAAGTTCTTAAAATGAATTGAAGAATACGCTTTAATTTTTTCAGAATATTTAAAATGATTTTTGGATTTTTGGAATTGTCGATTTTTCGAAAAATCAAAAAGTTATCCAAAAAATTCTGAAAAAATTCATACGTATTCTTTGACTAATTCTAATTACTTTTTGTTCTATTTGTTCTGTTCGAAATGATCTCTGTCGAATCAGCCACCTTTATATATGAATGTAATACAAATCTTTGCGCTTTTTTTTACTCTATGAAAATCAACTTTACAAAAAAACTTTATAGAAGTTCTTCAAGAAAGTATCGTTTCTACCTCTTTCCAATCAGTCCCCTTCAAAAGAGTATAGTCTCTAGTATATCTCCACTGCGTTCCATCGTTTGTACCTTCATAGTTTTCTTTTAAATTCAATATTAGTGCGTAACAGGTACAGGGTCTAGACACCATTTTTGTGAGTTTTTCAAAACATTTATAGGTAGTATAGTTATAAGTTAAAGGTAGTATAGTTATAGGTAGTAGAAAAAGTGTAATAATCCGTATGCGTGCGAGAGAGACGCACTTAGAGCCCTGCTGTGCTAATGAAACGTACGCTTTAGGAGCATTACAGGGTGCGTCAACGATATCCTGAAATGCGAAGAATTGCCGTGCACCGATCAGCCTGCATCGTCACTCGAGAGCATCGTCGACGAACCCTGTACGAGTTGTAATTGACAAACCTGTCGTAGGGGGGCATCACTTTTGCCAAGGAGTACTCGAGCGGGGGGGAGGGGGTACCCAGTGATATACAAAGAATGTATTATTGTTTCAGAGGTCAGTCTTTCGAGAGCCGGTCTCTTGGAAACCGCGTTTTGCCGGTCTTCCTTCCCCCTTCCCCTCT